CCAGTTTTTCAAAGCATTTAGCGACTATCGGGGTGAGGGCCACTGGCAGATAGTAGTGTTGTAGTACTCGAGACCGGTCTTGGTCTCGACCGCATTTGGTCTCGGTCTTGTCACGGTCTCGGACATTGAGGACTCGGGATTTTTTTTCAAGACCAGTCAAGACCACAACTGTGAAAATATCACTAAATTGCCAGAATATTGTCCAGTTTATTTGTTAACATCTTTGCTTTTACTGGATGCAAAACATACCGATTCAAATTCAAGCGATAACGTGACTCATAGCAGCTAGCTACATGTTTTTGTTACCACTCCAGTGTTGCCAGATTGGGTGGTTTACTGCCAATTGGCCAGTTTTCGTTCTGATTTTGCTGGGAACTCTGGGAAGATTTTTGTTGGACTGTTCCGTTTTGCCACATATTGTTAAATTACCTTGGCTTGTACTGATGTGGGTTTGTGTTCAAAAAGTAAATATACTGTAACAAATATAGATTGTGCAGGTTTTTGTGTGATGTTGCGGTTTTTAACCGATTTTTTGCTGGAAAATCTCGACTCTATCTGGCAACACCGAGCCCACCTCCTTTCACTCGCAAGCGTCAGGGAAGAAAAGTTAGACTTGTTTGTGTTTAGAACAAGAGAAGATGTCTTCTAAATCTGCTGTTATAAAGTTTGGCTATTTGAGTCACAAAGAGTATGTTTGCAAAACAACTCTGAAAAAAAAGCACACGGCGCAATGCAAGTTCTGCAGCGCTTCACTTTCGGAGACTGTCGGGACTACATCCAACTTTTATCGACACCTGGAAAGGAAGCACAAAGAAAGGTAAGCGCCGCAGCTTTGTGTAAGTGATGCTAGTAAAGCTAGCTGCTAGTTAACGTTATCAATCTGCCTCTCTTCCAAGAACAATACAAACAGAACGTTTTATCAAGTATGGTTTATTTGTCATATGCAAAATCAACACAAGGTCGACAACAATGCAGTGAATTGCTTAGGACGAGAAAAACAGTAACAAACAAAAAAATAACAACAACAAATACCAAAGCATGCATCACAAATACTAAAATAAGGGACAAAAAGTTGAAAAAGTAATTCATCGACATTAAATCTAAATACATCTAAATTAATTAATGTGTGTCAGACTCAGACCCGCTTTGTTTAGCCCTTAAATGAGTTTTACTTTATAACACTGATATAATTAACATATTAAGGGAAGTAAGCAAATTCACTGTTTACATACAGTTAAATCAGGTCCTCTGAGTGTGTGTTAAAAGAAAAAAAGTAGAATATTATCTGCACAGCTTTTTTCTACCTTTTTTTTCTTTTAACACTCCCAGAGGACCTGATTGAACTTTTTTAAATTTTTCTACCTGGGTTATTGAGCATGCATAAGGACAAATTCACTGTTAACTTTGAGAGACTGAGGGGACAGGGCATGTGGTAACAAAATGTAGAAACGTTTCATCTTTCATCCAAAAGACTACTTGACTTCTTAACAAAAGACTTCATTGTAAGAGGGACTGTCTTCTTCTTACATCGCTGATATTGCTAGTATCACTCAGCCCCCTGTGAATAGCAAGCAACCATCAGGGTGCCAACGATTCATTGTTAGGCTGATGGTCTCCCTTAACATATTTGGCAAACTGGTTGATCCACTGTGAGAAGGTGCTAACTGTGTTTAATATGTCCTGATGCATGCTCAATCACACAGGTAGAAAAATCTTAAAAAGTTAAATCAGGTCCTCTGGGCGTGTTAAAAAAGTAAAAATAAAAGGTAGAAACATTTCGTCTTTCGTCCGAAAGACTTCCTCAGGCTGAGGAGCTGCATTCAGCTCAGCCCTATAAATAGTGCCTCCTCACAGTGGACCAACCGTTTGTTGTTGATGAAACTAGCTGCTCACATGTTCAAGGAGGACCATCAGCCTAATGATGGATTGTTAGTACCCTGATGGCTGCTTGCCTTCACCGGGGGCTGAGTGATACTAGCAATCACAGCATTGTAAGAGGGGGACAGTTGAACCCGGAGGCCTCCACCCCTGTTTAAAGATGGATGGTTTCTTTTCACAAAGATGGCCTCCTTTACTCCTCTCTCAAACCATTGTTCCTCTCTATCAAGGATGTGAACATCTTCATCCCTGAAAGAGTGACCGCTGGTCTGGAGATGAGTGTAAACCGCAGAGTCTTGGCCTGAAAATGTAGCTCTTGAGTTTAATATAGCTCCTCATATTGAAGAAGTCTTTTGGATGAAAGACAAAACATTTGTATAATTTTTTATTGTTTAAACCCATCCAGAGGACCCAATTTAACTTTGTTAGATTTTTCTAAGTTTAATTTTTGCTTATGATAAACAATGGAGGATATATTTGACATACATTTATGAAGTTGCTACTTATTTTTAAGTGTTCTTTTGATGTAATTGATGTTCATGACCAGATATACTGATTCCTCCTTTGCATTTTTTAGGTTCCTGGAATACAAGGCAGGGCAACAGAATGATGTCACAGTCACACAGCCATCAATTTCATTATTTACGCAGAAAGTGCAGCTCTACAGCCCACAATCACCAAGGCAACAAGCCATCAGTCAAGCCATTGTCCAAGATTTGATCATTGGGTGTTGTCTGCCTCCCTCACTTGTGGAAAACAGTCATTTTAAACACTTTCTTGAAGTTATGGATAGTAAATACACACCAATCTCTAGAAAAACGGTTTCTGATAGACAAATTCCAGAGTTGGTAATCAAGGTCAAGGAAACTGTTTTGGAGAAACTGAAGACCCAGTCATCTGTGTCATTAACAACTGACCTCTGGTCTGATCGCAGGCTACGCTCCTTCCTTGGGGTGACCGCCCACGTGTGCTACAAATCAAAGGATTCCTATGCACTTGAATCCTACCTGCTGGACTGTAGGCGTTTCACAGGCAGACATACTGGAGAGCACATTGCGTCTGCCTTTGAGGAGATCACAGAGGAATACGGTATCCATGACAAAATTAGCTATATCATAACAGACAATGCTGCCAATATGAAATGTGCTTTCAAAGTACACATGCCCCAATCTGATGACAGCGAGAGTGAAGAGGAGCATTTAGATGACGAGCACCTGTGGGAGGACATTAATTCTCAGGAAGACACCGAATTACCCTGGTCATCTGGTGCACGTCTTTCCTGCTTTGCACACTCTCTGCAATTAGTTGTGAATGACGGCATGAAGGAGGTCAAGGCCATTTCTCACACAATAGCCAAAACATCACGGTTCACCACCTTATTGCATAGCAGTTCACAATTCAAAGACAAGTTTGAGGCTACGTTTGGCACTAATAGGACCATTCCAGCTGCAAACACAACTCGATGGAACAGTATATTTAAACAGGTACAGGCCTTCACAGCTCTGGACCACAAAGCCCTGAATGAAATGTGCAGCAAGGATCACGAGGAGTTGGTGTTTAGTGCCCGTGAGTGGAACCAGCTGAAGGAACTGAGTGCAGTTCTTGCTCCATTTTCTGAGGTAACAGACCTGACAGAAGGGGAGAAATCAGTTACCATTAGTATGGTGGTTCCAACTGTCCTGGACTTGAATACACACCTCCTCAAGATGGAGGACACTCGAATGCAGTGCCAGTCATTGGTCAGAGCCCTCCAGCAGTCTCTGGTGAAAAGATTTTCTGGAATCTTTTTAAAAACAAGCATGGCCAAAGACAGTGGAAGAGAGGAACCTTTTAACCACAATGTTTACTTCTTGGCCACCATGCTGGATCCTCAGTTTGGCTTAAGCTGGGTGGACTTAGATGTTACCAATGGGGGAAATTCAACATCAGTGAAAAAGTTCAGAGATGAGCTTAAGAAGACACTGACAGGTCAGTATATATTTTCTCTGCTGAAAATAAATGTCTTATTTGCAAAATCATAAATCCTAAAATATTTCAAATTAGTTGTCTATAAAAGCCTTAACTAGTCTTACAGTGGAATTCATAGTCTTCATTTCATCTGTTTACTTTTGTCATAAAAACATATTTTGTACACTCTGAGCCTATTGAAACAGATATTCTTTATATTTAGGCTGGTAACATGCCTATTGTACACAATCCTGACTCACTTTTATATTAAATGGGACTGTACTTATATAGCACCTTTCTATCTTATCAGACACTCAAAGCACTTTACATTACAATCTGTGCCTCATTTACACATTCATACGGCACTCTATTAGATCTCTACAAAGCTAATTGAACAAATCATTCAAAGGAGACTAATCAGAGCTTTATCACATTCATACACTGATGGGACGCACATCGGAGGCCCCTAATAAAAGGTCCTAAACGTATTTAATTCAACTCTGATATGTGCATATCCTTTTAAATCTAACTCAGTCATTGTGTTTGTGTTTTTCAGAAACATTGATCTTAGAGGTGGAGAAGATGATGGACATGAAAGAAGACACCTGCTCAGAAGTTGTGAATGTGGATCCAGCCGCAGCCAGTGATTCGCCACCAAACAAATACCCTCGCCTTCTGTCCCGCTACAAGGCATACAAAAAGCACAGCTCAAGCATACACACACAGATAAGGAAATACTTTGATGCCATCCGTGACTTTGACACAGACAATTCTGGGCAAAAAACCACACTAGATTTCCACAACTGCACAATTTAGCAATGAAGGTCCTATCAGTCCCTGCCTCCTCTGCACCAGTGGAAAGGGTTTTCAGTCGAGGAGGCATTTTAATGAGACCCCATCGTGCACGTTTAGGCCACAGAATGTTGCAATCACTCATATTTCTTAAATGCAATGAAACACTTCTTTAAACTCCAATAATCAGTTAGTCATCTGGACAGTTTTTTTTTTTTTTTTTTTTTGTGGAAAGACTGACGTTTTGCCCTCCGGGGGCTGTCCTCTCCCCCGTCGACTCCTTCCAAAATGCAGCCACAGCCAAAGTGGGATTTTTTTTTAAGTAGTTATGCATCGGGCAAACTTTGTGTTGCTTTGTATAGCTGCAACGTTGAAATTGATTAGCCTCGTGGTTTTCTTTCTGTAGTAGTTTTTGTTCACATTCCTGGCTGCCTGCAGTGCAGTTATTTCTCTGAAACTTTATGAATATGAATAAGCTACTAAGTTTTCTTGGGTGATTTTTATGATACTGTGTTTTTTTTCTTAATGTGCCTTGGATCATACAATGGAAGATCCCCAAGCAAATACACAAGTCTAAATGAAAATTAAACAATTTTAGAAAGTAACTGACGTCAAGTTTCCAATTTAATCCTAAAGACTGCATTTATACTGCCCAGTATTTCATGTTGACTTCAAGAGACCAAAAGAAGGTAAATGCATCTTGAGTTTTGTTTTATTAGGATCAAAATGGGTCACTTAAATTAGAGTTTAAATAAATTAAAGTAAGCATGCACAAGTTGTGTACAAAAGACATTGCAGTACAAAATTCATTTCACAAACAACACTGTTTAAAAACGTAAAAACATTACTGTCTGGTAAAATCATCAGTTTTGACACATTAAAAAGGCTCATAACTTTATAAAAATATTTTATAATAACATTTTATTTATTATTTTTAATTTTATTTGTGGATTTGGTCTCGAATTGGTCTCGCCCTCCCTCGGTCTTGGTCTTGTCTTGGTCTCGGACTTTAAAAGTCTTGGTCTTGTCTTGGTCTCGGACCCTACAAGTCTTGGTCTTGTCTCGGTCTCGGTACACTCTGGTCTTGACTTGTCTTGGTCTCGGGTTAGGTGGTCTTGACCACAACACTAGCAGATAGTCATTCAGACCAGTCACTGTAGAGCTTTTTGGGACTGGGATGATGGTGGCAGTCTTCAGGCAGGTGGGAACTGTCTCCAGGGTAAGTTAGGTGTTAAATATGTCTGCCAGCACCTCACAGAGCTGATCAGCACATTCCTTCAATACTTTTCCGGGATGTTGTCTGGGCCAGTTGCCTTGTGCGGATTAATAATATGCTAGTTTAGTGAGCAAAACATTTTTCTGAAGATGCTCATTTAATGGTTTGACATTTCTAAATTTTGAGGCACTCCAGATGTTAAAAACTTTCATTAGACAGTGCTAAAAAACCACAAGCATAAAAGCTCATCACCTCGCTCAGATAATATAGCCCTCTGACAAATTATTTTTGTAATTATGTAGAATGTTAAATAGTCCTGTTTTGATTTTACTTTTATCATATTAATTCTCTGATAATATTACTTACATTTATGATGTTTAATATGTTAAGTTGTTTAAGCATATGTTGGCCTTAGGAGGTATGACAGAAAATATTTTTACATGTTTATATGTATAGTTGTAATTTGAGTTTTTTATTTTGTTCTTGTTTCTTTGTTCTGTACGGAAGAGTATTGCTTGTTTGTACAATATAATTAGAACAATTATTTTATAGTTGACTGCAATACTCTTCTGTAGTTCTGTATGTTCAATAGTTCAATAAAGTTTAAAAAAAACTTTGAGGCGACATGTTTTTGTTCTACACGTAGCAGTGTACGGGTGTAAACAGCGACACCCAGCGGTCACAGTTATTAATTACAGCAATGTTGTCGCAGTGCGCCGTGTGTCCACTGGGTGGCGCCAAACACCAGGAAACCCCCATGGAGGGAGGTCCAAACGCTTTTCTGTGTATGTTCAGCTAACCAGACTCCACCATGAAGCTAGTTAGCAGCGCGACGTGGTGAGAGCGTTACTGGTGATGCGCTCATTAGCAATGAGAGAGAAGATGGAGTAGCTGCTTCGGTGTTTTATTTTGTGAGACGTTTCCATTCATGCTGCGTTCGCTGCTGCTGCTCCGGGGAGTTTGAGCTCTGAGTGGCCGGGGTAGTCGGGAGCTCAGTGGGGACAACACGGCTCAGTCACCGGTACGGTTGTTTTGCTCATAGCATCACTAGCTAACACTAAATTAGATGAGACAGAGAACAGAATAGCGTGCTTGCTGCAGGTTAATAAATGCGTGTACGTCGACATAAGTCTGTAATAACGAGGTAAGACACTTGTCAGCTGCAGGCTACTGCACTGTTGCGTTCACGCCTCAGTTGAGTAATTTCCATCTAACGTGCCTTCTAATAAAAACTGCATGTAATTAAACTTGAGTACAGATGTGCCCATTTAACATTACATTCAGTTGGACCTTTCTTTGTGCATCTGAAGTCTTTTGCATGTTTTAGCCATGCTCTGTACTGTGATCAAGTCAATAATTGGTGTTTTTCCTCCCCTACAGAGTTGCAGCATGGTGGTCCCGGACAGTGCCAATGTGGTCCCTCGCCCTGACAGGTCCACCGGCCACACTGAGAGCTCTGGTCCAGGGTGCACAGAGATGGAGGAGACGGCAGCGGTGGAGCTGGAGGAGGTCCGAAAGCTGCAGGAGCTCGTCCGCAGGTTGGAGATCCAGAACGAGACGCTGCGCAGCAGGGGGGTGAAGACCGTCATCCCCAAAGGAGCCATCAATGAGGGTGTCAACATCAACCAGAGGCTGCAGCTCAGGTTGGACCACAGCGCTGAGCTGAGCAGCATGGGCTCCAAGCTCTCGCCTCCTCAGGAAGGCAGCAGCAGTGAGGAGATGTCCCCTTCCGCTGTGGCCAACCACCTGGAGGAAGAGGACGAGGATCTGGGTCCATTGTGCGGGGACTTTCTGTCTCTGACTTGTAGGAACGGAGCGGAGCAGGCCGAGACGCCGGAGAGCCCATCTCAGGGAAGTTGCGAGTCAGAGACGCTTGCGGACAGCGACTCGGGGGTGGACCACACCGCGCTGGATGAGGTGGACGTCCTAGATTTGCAGGACGGGTGTGCAGAAGTAGAAGACGAGGACAGTTGGTAGGTTTTCTGTTCTGCACCGGCTGTTTCTGATCTCAGACTCTGCGTTGAGAGCCACACCGTACACCAGATGTCTGAAACGTGATGTTTACTCAGAAGAGTTACCGCCTGAACAAGCTGTGTTCAGACAACGCAGCTCGCAGGGAGAAACGACACTTTAAAAATGTCTTCCGATGTTGTTTGTCTCTACAGCCCCTTTAGCTAGATGAGTCAGCCGTGCCTTTTCTGTTGAACTCTTGATTTTAAAGTGTGCAAGTCGCCCACAGGGCAGTGACTGTGTGCCATTTGAATTTAAAAGAAGCCTTCAGCTCTTTTTTCCACGTCATGTGACGCAGGTGTCTCTTCCCTGAAATTACCAAGTGAAGCTGAAGAAAACGTACAAAGATAAAATAGGAAATAAACATTTTAAAGTCAATTAAAAACCTTGTGTTCCTTAAAGGGATGTATGTCGCCCACCACCTTTCATGCCAGAGCTTTAAAATCATTTATGCCCTTATGGTCCAACCTTGGAAATAACGTTAAACGTGCAATGTTGTAAAAAATCTTGCAGTCTGCTAGCACTCAAAACATGTGCTGGGGATCATTCTCGGCTACTACCACACCAAACTGTTGCTCAGTATTTGTAAAATTCGAGTTGTTGACATTTTTGCGATTCTTAATGTCAGTTAGCGGAGCAGCCATCTTGAATTGAATTAACTAAAGGGTTTTCAGTGGTTGGTGTGCATTCAGTGATTATTTATTTAAGTTTGATTGAAACTTATTCAGTGGTTCATGAAATATTATGGTAACTGACTCAAGCACACACGGAGGTAAAACATAAATAATTACCAATAAGCAAACAAAAAAACATCACTAAAAGTCTGTCGCTACTAATCCCTCATATGTCACTGTCTAATCCAGGGGTTCCCAACCCAGATCCTTGAGGAACACCATCCTGCATGTTTTTTTCCCTCTGATTTGACACACCTGATTTGAATGAATGATTAACAGGCTCCTCAAACCCTGATGAAGTAATTAAATCACTGAATCGGGTGTTGGAGCAGAGAAACAACTAAAACATGCAAGGTGGTGTTCCTCAGGGACTAGAGTTGGGAACCACTGGATGTTGTTTTTGCAGCAGCTTATTTTGATTTTCACATTATTAGCCGTAGCGTCCGTGCTTTGTGGTGTTGTCATGGTCGGAACACGGGCTAAATCCCAACAGCACCCTAATCTGATCCGGGCTGGATGCTGGGCTAAACTGCTTTGTGTCGGATCGCACAGCATGTGATCTGAAAACTGCTGCGGGGATCGAAACTCTGGCAGCAAATAAAGGCTCTGTTTTGTTCTGGTTTGGTATTTTTAGGTGTGCGGTTTCTCTCGTTTAAAAAAGAAACACGTAAGAAGAGCAGACAAATTTTATGTTCACATGAGAAAGACGGTTTTGTAATCTTATCTGGACAGTTCAGGATAGACTTGTCTACATTTGTAGGTCTTTTTTTTTTTTTTCTCACACGTGTGTTTTTATTGTGCATTAAGAGCGATAATGTTTTTGTCCGTGTGTTCATTTGACTGTACCTTTAGCAAAACATGTCACAAATCCCTGAGGGGATTTTAATCAAACGGAATAATTTAAGGAGTAAACCCAATTCAAGATGGACGCTGCAGATAATCATCTTTAATGGCTTTAACTCGGTCAGGTTTACAGACACTGAGCTAAAATTTGGTGTGGTAGCTGACAACTATTTCTCAAAATAAAATGATTTTAGTTTAAAACTCTGGCGTGACACATTCACGGGTGAGATGCTTTCAATCCTTCACGGACTGCGTGTTTATTACTTCACCTGCAGAATGCTAGTTCAGCTAGTTCGTAAACTTTAAGGTGCAGAAAAGTAACGGCCTGGCAAAAAGAAGTGAGACAGGAAAAACTCGACTATGAAATTAGTATCAAGATGTCGAGCAGGGAGTTTCGTGGAAATTAAAGTTGGATCCTTATGAAAGTTTATGGATGTGCTCGTCTGGAGGTAAAGAGTGTGAAGACGTTCTCCATCCGGAGCCGAACAGTCGACTCGCGGTCACGTGGTTGCGGGCACACCTTTCATAAGACGCAGAGCTGCTGGGAATCCCCTCCCGCTGCAGTATACGTCACCGCGTGGGTTTCTTCCCACCAGGGTCACCACTCCGTCCCTGCATCCGCCTTTTAGCCACAAATCTATCCTGAAGAAAGCGCCGCACTTCTCAGCTGACAGGGCTCCATGCACATTATCTGCACCATCTCCAGCCAGGAGTTTTGACCATTGAATTTAGTTTAGACGTACAGATGAGTGTCCGAATACATTTCCACATTGACGAGCTCATCCACAAACTTCAGTCCGATCACGCACTTTGTAGAGAAGAGGCTGTGAAGCTGCTCTGAGTGCAAAATGACTCAATTTTCATCGAACAACTACGTCAATCAGAGGCGATTTCGCTGCTTCGGATGGAGTATGCTGGACCGTCTCTGTGCTCATCAGAAACGTTTGTCACACACGGAAGAGCTGTGGAGCTGTTTGAGTGGAAACGACCTGACGTCAGGAAGTGATCACACTCTATTGTTCCTATTCTGAAAGACCCATCACTAATCTTTTTTTTTATATCTTGGCTCAAGCATTTTAGATTCTACATGTGGGCTTTAAAACCGTTCAACGGGAACATGAAGGTATCCCTTGTTGAGTGTTCATTGGTCCACAGTTTCTGTGAAACGCCTCATGAACCGCTGGACAAGTGTTGATGATGTAACTGAGTTCATATTGACAGCTGATGAGCTTTTGGAGTCAGTTCCTCTCAAATTGGCCACCACAGCCAGCTGATGTGACAAAACACAAAAATGGCTATAAGTCAGATGTTGAGCTAAAATCAGACGTGGTCGTAGCTGAGAGTAGCTGCATTCGGACCTAAAGAATCTGACCCGGCCTCAGCCTGTAGCCATTTTTTCCAAGCCTGACGCAACCCGACCAGTTTGTCTGTAATTACAGGCCTGAACCCGGAAAAAATATATAATTAATTAAGCTTTTACTGCTTTTGTAAGCAAATCAGTTTGATATGATAGCTTAAAAACACATTTCAAAGAAATGAAGATAAAAGATTTCTTGTTTATTAACACGTCACCAAATGGATATTAACAGACAAAAATGAATAGCCTAAAGAATCAACTCTAAAGATGAACACAAATATTTTTATAACAAAATTATTTGGGAAAATATAGAACAAGGTTATTTTAATTGAACGCGCTGCTCGCTTCTGCTTTTGTAGCTTCAGGCGCTGCAACTTCCTTCACCGCATATAACAGCAGGGTGTGGAGCGGGACGCGCACGACCGATGATCCGGTGATCCATCTGAAGCTTTACTGAACTTCTTTTTTTTTTTTTACCTCTTTCAACTGGCCGGTCAGCGGATGCACGCGGCCGATGATCCAGTGATCCATCTGAAGCTTTAATGAACTTTTTTTTTTTTAACCTCTTTCAACTGGCTGGTCAGCGGATGCATGCGGCCGATGATCCGGTGATCCATCTGAAGCTTTAATGAACTTTTCTTTTTTACCGCTTTCAACCTGCCGGTCAGCAAACACACATGGCTGATGATCCTGTTGTCTATCTGAAGCTTAAGACTTTTTTTTACCTCTTTCAAGTCGGACCTGAGCGTGCACCTGACCTGACACACATCAACAGGTTTCACTGTGCTGGCTTTGTAGAGTGAGTTCTCCCGTTTTAAAACCACATCAAAAGCCCAAGACCGACCCAGCCCGAATTTCGGGTGGGATAGTCCCAGGCTTAGGTTATAAATTGATGCTGTAGCTGAGAAGGATCCTCAACACATTTTACAGCTGGCATGAAATGATGAAGAATGCTATTTTATAAGAAAAAGGTTTGTAAGTTCAATCATCCAGATAAATAAATACAAAAAAGGTTAAATCAGGTCATCTGGACAGTTTCTTTTAGGGAGAAATGTTTAAGTATAAGAGCTATATGTTGTTTTTTTATGTTCCCATACAATGATGAGTTAGTTCTCTGCACACACAGGATACACCCAGGTGGAGCAGTGGGCAGCTACTGACACCACGACATGTAGGAATGGCTGGGAGTCGAACTGGAACTTTCTGCTCCCAGCTCGGCTGCCCTTCCTCTGCCCATCTCGGCCTCCGTTTCATCTTGCATCCTAAAACCTTCTCCATTCTGAGGCCTGCCAGCCCAGATCTGTCTTATAAATAGCCCTCCTTGATGTGTTTCAAGCCAGCCTGCTGTGGATTTCCCAGAAACTGACTTTACACGTGCAAAAAATGAGCTTTGAGCTTGAAAACTGAGCTTACAAATCTTTTTTCCAAACCATTTTGCCCAGGTGTCCTCAGGCTGTTTCTGTGAGGAGCTGCTGGCCATCTGTCCTAAAACAACTCTCACTTCCTGCTAAAAGGCGACAGACAATATGCGTTCCACCAAAGATCGCTAGGCCTTTAGTTTGATCATTTATTTATCTTAAAGGTAAATTTCATTTACCTCTGACTTGGTTGCTTTAACACTCGTCTCCATCAGCAGGTGACATTGTTATGGTCAGAATAATACCAGCAGATTATCCACAGACCTGCTCAGCACGGCTTGTCTTGTTTGACACTCAGAGACCAAACATTGTGAGTGGACCGAACCCGACTGTCTTTGTCTTACATCAAACATACGGTTGTGTAAGACAAGTGGCTCCTGCCCCCCTCACACACACGCACACACTCACTGGCATGGGTGTGTGACCTGAATATTGCTCTTTGGATTGTTGCTCATCCGCTGGGAAACCGGAGCTTTTGTGTTTGCCTAAATGGGAAGATGATTTGAAGCTGATTGGTCCAGAACCAGTCGGTCCGGGTCTGTTGTGTACACACAACTCAGAACGGGTGATTGGCAGCTCAAAGCTGACTTCACGGGTGTTTTGCTGGCACCGGGGCGACATCGGCCCACAAAAGGATCACCCAGACAAAGCGGCTAACATCTACCGCGGTAGAAATGTTCTCAGCACTTTTCTTCAGCATTTAATGTGAAAATAAAAACATAAATCCAAACAAAATGAGACCGTTCTTAAATTTTAAATGTGCTTTATTGATTTGTCTACCTTCCTGCGAGAGTAGCATACGAAGACTTGAACCAGTTTTTTGTTTGTTCTGTGGGAATGAATGAGGCAGAAAAGATTCAAAGGAAACCACCGCGTGCTTGAAGCAATTGTTTCGCTCTGATTGAAGCAACCATCAAATCAACCTGTTCGTTCATTTGATGTCGCCTCTCACCTGAACACCTTTGTGTTCGTTTTCTGTCCAGTCATGCTTAATGTTATCTGCTCTGCTAAAAATGATGAAGTGCGCGCCTTACTCTAATCCGATCCTTGTTGTTATAACTGTGCACTTACTAACGTTTCTCAGAGGAATAATAAGCAGACTCAGCTGCCACCGTTCTTAATTCTTCTTCTTCTCCTCGTGTTTGAACTTTTCCTCCTGTGTTTGCCCCTCAGGTTGTACGTTTCTCCTAAAAAGCAAGCAGCAGATTCAGGTCCGGACTCTCCGTTGAAGTGGTGTCGGCAGGTTCTCGATCATCGCAGCCCGGAGACTGAAATCGCTTGTCGGACGCTGATCAATCGTTTGGATCAAAGTAGGCGTTTAACACGTGCATCAGTTTTTTTATTTTGATCAGTGATCACCAACTAATGGCCCTACAGGGTGGTGGGGGTTGTGAGGGATGGTGTGGAGCTGTGGCACCCACCCTCACTTTACTGAAGGATGGACAACAATGTGAGCAGGATTTAACAGTGTGCCAGGGTCTTCCTTATTTTGACGCAACTCAAAAACATCAGCAATAACAAAAAGTCCAGTTTATTTAATTTTGTAATGTTTAATTGTCCAATTTATGAGGACTAAACTGAGTCCACCTGTCTGACGGACCCTTTATGTCAGTGTGATGCAGAACCTCCACCTTCCTCTGAAGGCCGTTTGTGTCCCATCGATTCTTTGAAGGAAAAACGTGCAGACTGAACGTTATTCTGTGTTTTAAATAGAATTTATTTTATGATGTCCCAACACAAACTCACAGACACGTTTTATTAATTTGTTTGAAACTTTCATGTTTGTAGTACTTTTGAACATTTATTTTGAGCTTTTAGTGCACACTGACTCAGACAAAATAACTCGCACGTTTCATTTTAAAATAAATACTGACAGGACTTACAGTTGGAACAAAAAAATGCAGCTTTCAAAAGTCAATTAAAAAAATGGCTCCCTGTGCTGATTAACAGCAAATGCTGCGTATAAAGCCTAGAGCTGAAATGTGCAGGTTTGAATAGTGAGAGAAATTACATTTTCATGTAACACTAAACTTTTATCTACAGGCTTGACATTTGTTAGACTGCAAACATCATCATCATCACCACCATTATTATTATCATCAGTGGGGGGCACAGTTCAGCTAATAGCCAGCTAACTTTCCATGTAGCGGATTAACATTTTCTCTGACTTTGAAAACCTTAAAGGAATAAGCTCCTGCTAAATTTAAATCTGGTAAATTCAAGTCCGCTAATTTCTTTTTTAAGACAGTTCTCCGCACCAAAATCATACAGGAGAATGGTGATTTACAGGGAGCTAAGCACCACTTTTCCTCCTTATATCTACTACAAACAGTCTGTGACTCATGGTGTCACTTTACAGCCAATAACAGAAACTTTGACATGAATGTCAAACCAAAGCAGAACAGGAAAGTAACATGAAAACCCCATTTTCACACTCAGAAACAGTCAGAAACATTGCACATATAATTCCTACCCAGCATGCTTTGTAGCGTTTACACTGTCTCTGGGATGTGACTCTCTCACACATTTCACACATCTTTACTATAAACAAATTTATTACCAAGAGAATATTGATGATGACGCACAGCAACTTTTGTGGTTAATTCATTATAATAAATGACGGGAGGGAGACGTCCGACACACATTGAATGCATCACTCTTCTTCTGCACAGCAGAGTTCTGCTCCACCTCTTCGGTTCCAGTGGACCAGATTAATGTCTTAAAGCTCACCTCTGAGCAGGACATGAATGCTTAACCTGTGATTTATGAATTATTTTAAACTGTGTTCACTCACAACGTTGTCACGTTACAGAGAGTCTTAGAACAAGAGAACAAGTTAGTGGTTGACAAAGTTAACTTTTGGATTAGCTGTGCCCACCACTGATTATTATTATTATTATTATTATTATTATTATTATTATTATAAAACAGACCCCTTTCAGAGTCTTATCAGAAATACTCTGGCCCTGAGCACATGTTGTTGGTGACCCCCGGTTGAGCTGAATCACCTTTTAGTCACCTTGTTTATTAGTAAACAAGCAAAATGTCAAGCTTCTCCTTCAGCGTTCATATAAATTGAAAAAAAAATATGCATCTTAACATCCGTGACTTGCCTTTGTCACCAAATCTAACCCATTCACTGCACAGCTACAGTTAGTCCCCTCATATTCTTATTTACTGCTCACTTCTGCAGTGCATGTGCACAGATATCTGTTGGAGTTGCATGACAAAGCCTGAGCTGCAGCATTCACGTCTTTGTGCGGACAGAAGTTTGCATCGGATCCAATAAGCCTTATTCATAATTTATCAGACTTGCAGCTTCAGCTTCCTGCGTGTTGCAGAACCTGAACAACAAAACTGTTCCCACCTTGGCTGAGTGACTGCGTATAGTCACATGCTTGATTGGATTACCTTTCCTCCCTCCTGCTGCTGCTTTCCTCTCTAAAAGAAGGAACTTGGTGGCAAGAAGAAACTGCACGTCTTTAAAAAAAAAAAAAGCGTACCTGAGTTGACAGCATTTTACAATGTGTATAACTGCTTGACAAACTCTTCCATGACTGTATTAGCAGTAACCGCCTCTCTGACTTCATGTTGGGTCTTTGATCTCTCCCGTCCTGTTTCCTTGCAGCATCTCGGCGGAAGAACGTGTACAGTACGTCAGAGGCGGGGTCAGTGAGCTCTGGCCAGATCTCTCCTGGGTACCACAAATCAACTAACAAATCCCTACTAACCTTTGGCAGCTCAGGTACGGCGTGACATTAACATACAACAACTGATGTTGAAAGGAAGTTGCTCCGTTCACGTGTGTGTGTGCGTGCATGTGTGTGTGTGTGTGTGTGTCCACTAAAGTTTTTAAGGCTGGTAACTTTTCAGGACCTTGCTTGTACTTTTGCATGTTTACCCAGTTGACTGTTTTCATGCACACTACACACTTCCAGACACGTCTTCATTTGACCATCGACTGTTTGTTTTATGATCTGGTGCCACAGATAACTAGTCAAATGGAGCTCAGAGAGAAATTGCTAACCCAAAGCTTGGAGCAGTTCACATCTGCGCCACAGACGAGGTTTTTTTTTTATTTTTTATCAAAGCAGTTCATGTAGGAAACCACGACCGGTGCTGCTTTTTAACCGGTTCCATAAAATAACATCAAGGAGCCAGTCTGTTGTTCCTCGTCAGACCAGTACTTCATTTTGTTGCTTAAGTTGAAGAGAAACCTTAAAATCACTGTTTTAATCAACAGTCTGTTTTGGTACGGTATACAAAGTAGATAGGCTTATGTTTTTGTGGGAAATTAAAAAAATAAAAACTTAAATGCTTGGCATGTTAGCTGTTGTCCTTTTCATCCCAGATTCTTTTTTACTGAACATTTTCTGTTTGTTTTAATCTACAGTAGTCCCTCGTTTATTGTGGAGGTTACGTTCCAGACCCCCGCCCTGCAATAGGTGAAAATCCGTGAAGTAGGGATGCTATATTTATTTTAGTATTTATATATATTTTAAGGCTTTATAAACCCTTCCCACACTCTTGCAATGTTCTCAACTCTTAAGCCTGCATCGTTTTAACAACATATGTACAGTACTGTATATGTAGCCACTAAATACTCACCAGCTCTGCAGAACTGCAGCAGCTCTCGTCCACTCCGACTTCCGTTCCGTTTCAGTGGACCTACCTGCTGGTTCTGGTCGGTTCTCTGGCTCAGGGTGGTGGTGGTGGGCTCTGGAGGGAGTGTCGGTCCTATGGGCGGCGCGTCCCCGCTCGGGGGTCCTTATGGGCTGGCTAGCAGCTCTTGTGTTCACCGATGAGTCTGGGGTTGCAGTTCTGTGCATAACTGACAGACCTTCGTGTGGCCGGCGCAGGACCAGTGATCTGATCGAGTGGTCGAGATGAAAAAAGTTCAGGGAGGCTCCAGAGAGAGGCCGGACCTATGGTGGCATGCGTCAGAAGACCTCCTGGGCCGGCTAGCAGCTCTCAGATTCGCCTATGGGTCTGGAAGTCCAGTTCTGCTCCAGTTCTGCTCCGGTTCTCGGTGGGTTCCCTGCGGCTCTTTGTATCCACTGGGTAACTGTATGAATAAGGGCTGAACTTTTTCCAATCAAATCAAACTTTCCCTCTATTTCAGCAAAAGGCAACGAGGTTTCTGGGCAGGGCATTGTTGGATTCTTGGAAATGTAGTCCTTATGAGTGACGATACAGTGTAGGCTTATTGAGAGAAAACTACAACGTGGCGACGCCTGTCCGATGTATTTTATTTTTTCGTTAACTTTTCACTGTACAGTATCGGTACTGTCTCAGTCACATGAGTAATATTGAAGTTGACAATCATGTGTCGTGCATATTTTATTTTATTTTTGCGTGTATAATCTTAAATTGAAAAACCATGAAAGAGCGAGTCAGCGATAGTCGAACCGCGAAGTAGCGAGGGACTACTGTATTTGTGTGCCAGTCCCATCTCCCTTTTCAAGATAATGCAGATGAACAAACACGTACTGAAAATGTTTAAACATAGTTTTGGTTAAAATAAAGTCAAACCCAACAATCTTTTATTTTGATGACACTTTAATGGTTTACATAAATCTCATCTGCTGGTTTAATTCAGAATTAAAAGCTGTTTCGACATCATCTGCTGATGGTGATAACTGGACTGATTTTTTTTTTGCTTCCAATTCTTTCAATTTAAAACAAAGGAAATCTTATTTAATCTGAGTTGTATGTTTCCAGTTAACTTAATTATTCTGAACTGATGATGTTATTTACAACACGTATCATTAATAATGTCCGGTGTTAAAGAGGTTCATTATTGAAGATTAATTTATCTTCACATCCAGTTTCTGTGTGTTTGTTGAGCTGTTTGCCCTGTGATTTATTTGTTCTGTGCATGTTTGATTCTTCCACCTTGGATGTGCACAAATAGAAGAAAGCTGTGAAGACGTGTTCATGAGGAATGTATTGTTTTTTTCAATCACTAACTGAACAATGAGGATTTGGGACTTTTTACGTCAGTGTTGGAGAGTGCCTCTTGTAAAAAAGAGAAAAAAATGTGGCCAATATTTTTCTAGAGTTATGTACAGAAGAGGATTAGGGCCACGGTGCAATTATTTTTTTCTTAATTCTGAGGGAAAAAGTCCAAATTCTGAGAAGAAAAACAGAATTCTGAGATTAAAGTTAGAATTTCAGAAAAAGTCATAATTCTGAGAAAAAGTCAGAATTCAAGGGACGGGTGGTGTAAATTAGCTTATGGCTATATACTGTACACTGTGACGCAGGCATTAGATTGTTTTGATCTATGTTTCTTGTATCGGTCCCTATCAAATAAACAATAAATAAATAAATAAATTCTGAGATTAGAGCCAGAATTCAGATTTTTTTTTTTGAAATTCTGACTTTAATCTCAGAATTCTGACTTTTTTCTCATAATTAAGGGGGGAATAAATGATTGCACTGTGGCCCTAATCCTCTTCTTTGGTTATGTGAGATTTTGCTTGTACCCTGTTTAATTTCAGGTGTCACAAACGTGCAGTCGGCCCTCAGCTCCCAGTCGTCCATAGACAGTGAGCTCAGCACGTCGGATGACTCCATCTCTATGGGCTACAAGCTCCAGGATCTCACTGATGTTCAGATCATGGCTCGCCTACAAGAAGAGAGTGAGTTCATGTCTCACATTGTTGTCTTTAAACATTTTTTGATAAGCAGCGATCTGTGTGGAGGAAGAGTTTTAAATGGCTCTATGCAGAGGCAGTTTCTGGGCTTTTTATTGTTTTTTTTTTATTTATTTATGACAGGTTTGAGGCAGGATTGTGCTTCCAGCTCTGCTTCTGCATCCCGTCGCAGCTCCACAACATCGCTGCACTCCCTGCGGCGGGGCGGCACCTACAGCGACCAGGAGTTTGACACGTACAGCCTGGAAGATGAAGAGGACGAGCTCAGCGCCGCGCCTCAGCGTCGACATCGCTTCACTCCTTCGCCTTTAGGCTCGCCTCGGTGCCTGTCCCCCTCCACCTCCAACCACGGTCAGGAATCCAGCAGCCGACTCGCTGCGCCACGCGCTAGAGCGCCCAGACGGTCTCTTCAGGGCCCCAGTGCAGAGCTGCTCAAGTTTGCCAAGAGTGAAGGTAGACCTGACAGAGTAATATCTAAAGTCTTAAAATCACTGAGAGGATCTGTTTCCTGTTTGTTCAATTCATTGTTTGGTGTGTGTGTGTGTGTGGTTCCAGAGGAGTTGAGGCACAGCATGCCTAATCTGGCCCCGCGCACCAGCCTGCGCTCCTTGGAGGCTATCAGAAACAGCCGCAGCATGGAGGCTAACCTCCAGAGCTCTGGCAACCGCATGTCTCACCTGCCTCACTCCCCCTCCACAGGTAACCCCACCCTTCTACCCTGAACACCTCTCCCCAATAAGACCACACATAACGTGCTCTCTGCATTTAGCCCCGACTGACACTCGATCCTTTCACCTGTGTTTTCAAGAAAAAGTTCAGAAATTTTCACGTGAGGTTCTGTAGAAAGGTGGTAAACCGTTAATATCCTACCTGCTGTAGATGGCTCTTTGAACGACCTGTTTGAAGAAATCTAGTTTAATATGGATTGATGCGCTAACAGTTCGTTTGAGCAGGGCAAAGACTAAGTTGATTTACTGACGTGGTAAAAATGATAAAAAAACTTAATTGTAGTTCTTCTTAACGTTGTTTCATAAATTTTATAAAATATATTTCTGCTGCAAGTGTCCCCAGCACTATTTGTGTTAGCAGAAAAAATGTGGAATTCTCCGGAAATAATTATGTAATACAAAATTTAAAGAGACACGAGTAGTATTTGCGTGAATCACCATGAAACTTCAAGGTGTTGTTTTTTCACACAGCAGCAGTCTGAGTTGGCTGCGTTTGGACCGGCCTTTAGTTCGTCGAGTCGGCAGAACTCATCAGTATGTCTCAGAACTGAAATCATTTTAATTATTTGTAAACCATCAACTAATTCCTGAGGAGTTTTCTACGGGACCGCTTCAAAAGATCTGAACATGTTTCTGCATGACAGCGAGGTTTAGTCAATAGATTAGCACATAAAATATTTGATCTCTAATAATGCAACTGAGAGCTTCATATATTGTAGCCATCTATATTATTATGCAAAGGACTCTGCTGTATTATAAATACATACTTTATTTGTTTACCGCAGAAAGTTTTACAGTAACAGCTTGCATAGCTCAACTGGAAAATAATCGTTTACCGGTACCGTACTTGTTAACTATCCACCCTTTTCTTAGCCCCCATGCTGCCTTGCGTGAATTATGGGCACGATTTCCGGCATGAACAAGAACCGGTTTATATGCGAGCAGCACGAGTTAATGTAGTTTCTCCAAGCATTACGGATTTAATTTAAATATGTGGGAACACCACCTGTCAGAGCTCAAACAGGACAATATAATCATACCGCTGCCTATTAAAAGGTGGCCGCAGATTACAGCTTAGCATATTTAGCTACTTCGTTGGCTCAGTTCTTCTGACGGGGAAGCGAAGAACAACCTGAAAAGCTCTGAGGTGTATTAATATCTATACAGTAATAATGTCGGTTGTGTTTTGTTAAAAGAGGTACAATCTTATTTATCTTAAAGCAGACATAGAGCCCAGCCAAAGCCTTAAAGTGCTCCATCACTGAGCTTGGGTTGATTGCAGAGAAAATTATAATACTGAAGACGAACAAATACTTTAACGCTGTGCCTTCATATACTTGACATCATGCCTGATATTCTCGTCACCATTTTCAATCCTTCTGAGAATCCGTCATCTCTTCTCCGGTGGTTTATTTTAGTCCAGACACAAAGTAGGATGCAGGTTTTCCTCCGTCGGCTATTTGTCAAGAAAGTGAAAAGAAAACACCTACACTCTTCAATTTCACATTTTTCTTCATTAAAAAAAAAACAAAAAACTCCATGCTCAATAATCCAGGTATACAATCCAGCATTTTTCAGTCAGGTCATCAGGACAATTTCTTTTTTTTTTGTGCTGAAATGTTTCACCTTCCATCCAGAAGGCTTCATCAGTCAGAGAAACACACACCACAAAACTGATTCTTTCCGCAAACAGCTTACTCAAAAATGGAACAAACCAGTTATGTTGGTGCTAAGATGGTGTCTTTGGCACGCTCCCTCCTCTTGTGCCGGCCCTCTTCCTCATCGACAGTCATGTCAAACTGGTTCAAAACCAACAAAGTCCATGCTCAATAATTCAGGTATACAATCCAACAATTTTCAGTCAGGTCATCTGGACAGTTTCTTTTTTTTGCTGAAACGTTTCTCCTTCCATCCTTCTTCTTAATTCCTCATCTGTAGGTAGGTGATGGAAACTATACCTCTTTTTACAGGAAAACTGTTTTTTTTAGGTTTATGTTCAAAACTCTGTTGTTGTAGCAACTGATTGAGTTTGGTCTGGTTGTTCTGCAGCCGTGAACACAACAGGTACCTGAACTCAGCACGGCTATTTTAGTAAACTTTATGGTTGTTAAATAAATGTAAACAAAACAAAAACAGTGTTTTATCTGCTAAACTGAATGTAAATTACTTACAAATAAACAGCGGCCCATGCTCCGCTACCATGGTTAACCCATGCTTACTGCTACTTCCTGTCTGACAGGAAGTTGTTCCCATAATCATTTCTACAGTAGAGCCACCAGGAATAAGGTGGATACAATGTGATTTTTGTAGAGGAGTGCAAGTGCTTCATATTTCTGACTTATTTCATCATGATGTTAATAAAGATTAACAAAATAGTATTTTGTTTACAATCTTTTAATTGTGAAAAATACAAGGCTTCGCTGGTGACAAATTAGAATATTTAAATGTTTTATCTGAAAAAGCCTAGTAGGAAGTGTTTTTTTTTTCTTATCTGCTTATTTACCGTCTCGTGCGCCCATCGCTCTTTGAGTGTTGAAACAGGTGCCACTGCAACTATTCACACCGCTGGCGCCAAAACCTTTACTGGTACTTACCAAAGGCTTCATATATGGCAACAAAATAAACAGCACAACTTTGAATTGAATATAATCATCATGCGTGTTTTTCTCATAATAATAACATTTCAGTTTAAAAATAGATTATGTATAAAAACTGCTGATTTTTTTTCTCGCAGTAATAGATACAAAAAAACTATCGTGTGCACAGATTTAAAACATTTCTTGCCACGACTACATCGTTTAAATCCTGCATGACCCACCCCTCAACTGTTTACAGTTGCACAAAGCATCTCGGATGCTGTCCTCCTTTTGCCTTGACTTTTATCTCCCAAACATCCCCCAGAAAGATTTTTATCATGACCGAAACTTAACCCTAAAGTGATCACGTTCTAATCCTCTGCTGCCCTTCCAAAGCTCGTCCACAACTCTTTTCTACCATTAAAGCTCCCAGTTAGTGAGCTACTTTTCTCTTAACTTGTTTTAAAAACAATACACAGTTGACTGATGTCCAGTTTAAGTGCCAGTCTTTCCTGAACCTCCAGGTGCAGTTTGCAGTCGCCTGCGCACAAACGGCCAGTCTCCCCTCTCTCTGCGGACGCCGGTTAAAGCTGTCGCCCCGGTGGGCTCCATGTCAGCTGGTCGTCAGTCCTCCAGAGGTCTGCCCATCGTCCAGGTGCTGCCTACAGGAGAGGGCCGCAGGCTCCAGTCGACGGGATCTGCCAATGGAGGGGCCTACAGACCTGGGAGGGGCTCGGTTGGGGCAGGAAGGCCTTCAGTGGGTCGAGGTCAGGCTGCTCCATCGCTCTCCACAAGAAGTAAACTCTCACAGCCTCCCAGAAGGTGAGTGTTCAAAAAAATTATTAATGAGCAAGGATGCAATGTGATAAATCCTGCCCGTCACCTGGTCACAGACTAACCCCTTGATTTGAACGACAGGTCTTTGGGCATGGCTAAAATCTCTGACGAATCCTGGAAAGATGGCTGTTACTGATGAAGGATCCTTCAACGTCCAGCTGACTTCTCCTCAGTCCAGAAAAAACGTCCACAAATGTTTTGCACAAATTCTGGTTCCTTATTTCAGGCTGGGGTGCACTGGATTTGTAGTTAGTCTTTTTTTCCATGCATGCAATGCCGTCAGCTCACAAAATATATGGATGTGTAGGAAAGAGGAGCTACACGGGCACTCAGTTTGTTACGTGGACCAACGTTAACGTTCCTTAAATACGTTTGTGTCAATTTGACCTATTTTTGTATGCTAATGGTGGAAAACTGCTGGAATTTCAAGGGTTGTATTACTGTACTGTTATTGTTAATGTTGCTGATTTGAAGACAATTAAAATGAAGATATTGCTGGTTTGTACATGATCTGTGTGAACTACTAGATGAAGATGCTGAGTGTCGCATGCTGGGTTTAGTCGTTTTCTTTTACCTTGTTCTCTAACTGCAATATGACAAATATTAGTGTCCAAAAATGATCTGAAAACCAATAAATACTTGAGTGATTTTATGTGATATGCTTGTGTTTTGCTCGTTGCATACACAACAAAGCAACCCTTGTAAACCACACTGCCCTTATGAAATATGTTTTTTTTAAAAGATGGAGAAATACGGTTTGTGCCAAGGTGCATTACAGCTGCAACTTTTTAGTTCAATGATTAACTTTGAACAATTGAAGAATGCTGTCACAGTGCTGAGGTTTTCAAGCATTTGCACTGCATATGTAGAGCTGGATTGAATATCTGTCTGGAAACCACTGTATTAAAAAAGTATATGTATGCACAAAGGCCCTGTGCCTTGGTCAGCTATGCACCCTCATGGAGTGCCTCTGAAATGTAGGAGCTGTAATAAAAAATAATAAAGTCTACCCTAAAATTGCATTACTGGTGTTTTTTAACTTGTGCATGCTACTACTTTTATGTTTTACAAACTATTTAGTTCTATTGTGCAGTTTACTGACAAGCAATTATTTATCAGGACCATCCTCACTTCCCCTGTAAGAAAGTTTGGCAGGCTGTTGTAACATATAATCAAATTGTATGCCGCCTACCTTCCAAAATGTTTCAGACATTCATAATTATTTTTTTGTTAGTCATAGAGTTTCTTTATTGTCATTTACACCACATGTGGTGGAATGAAATTGTGTACACAGGGTCCCAGTTACATCCAACAATAAAATGTAAAAGAAAAACAGTAATAAGATCTAAGATATGAACTAAGAAAAACAATCTAAAAGCACTAATATAAAAACAGTACGCTGAACAGCAGCACGAACATGAGTCTGTGTGAGCAGATGAGCACAAATTAATTAATGAGTTAATTAAACTGCTAAACATGCTTTTATACTGGATAGTTCAAATACTATTATATATGGGAAGCATTTTTATTCAATTTTGTTTTGGAAAATTAGAATTAAACTAGTGTGTATTACTGATATCAGATGTTGTTTATTCCTTTGAAGAAATGTATTTCAGATACCTACAAAGTTCTTAATAAATATGAGGAATGCATTTGTGGACTTATTGAGCTCCAAATTCAACACTGAGCAGAGGATGCTGAGGAAATTGCTCCAGATCCTGAACAGCACATCACACCCCCTGCATGGAGCCGCAGCACCTTCAGTCGTAGACTGAGACCACCGAGGTGCTCCACAGAACGCCACAGGAAGTCTTTCAAGCCCAGCCGGTCGAAGCAGATGACCGCGTGTCCTGAGCCTGGTTCTGCTAAAGGTTTCTTCCTCATGAGGGAGTTTTTCCTTTCCACTGTCGCCTTCATGCTTGCTCAGGATGAGAGTTCTGCGATGGAGTTAAACTCAAAGCAGTCTGCTCCTAGAGTTAAATTATTATTTTTATATAGGAATGTTTCTTTTCAGTGCCCTGAGATGGACTTCTGTTGTGGCTTTGCGCTATAGAAATAATTGAATGCAATTGAATCTAACTTTTCAACTCCTCCCCTTTTCTACACATAGGACAATAAAATTAATCCTGCACCACAATAAACACTTTAATGTTTCTCTCTGCACCTGACCTGATTTTGGACCTTAATTGTTGGTATATTTACACCTTTCTGGGTTTTATTTGTTAATTATCTGTTATTTTTATATTCTCTGTTATTTCTATATCTTGTGTATGTTCCTTTGTACTGAAACTCTGGCATAACACTTTCCTGTGGGATCAATAAAGTTCTTTCTTAAACTCAATGAATGCAAATACAGTAACATTTGTACTACAAATAATGGATATGAGATGAAACAGAGATACCTGAAAGGTTGGTTGAGGATAGGACAAATAGCATTCTAAATAGTGTGTTTGTTTTTCATTCATTCAACCTTTATTTATACAGGTTAGTCTCATTGAGTCACCAGGACTCATTTTCAAGAGAGACCTGTTTTAGACAGACAACAATAATTCAATGACAAAAAGCAATTAAAATTAAAAGTAGTTCTAAAAAGAGTCAAATCAAGATGTCATATAAAACAAGGTAAAATACTAAAAACACAAACATATTTGCTTTGATTTTTTTATTGACATTATCAAATGTTTAAAAGCTCTTAAATCAAAATGGACAGCAGACAAGGTGTTCCAGGTTGCAGGAGCAGGAAAAGGCCTCCAAGTTCAGTCCTCGCTGAGGGGACACTGCACGTAATGAAGGCCTGAGAGTGCACGCTGTAACTGCACTGATGACGTGACATGTGGGAGGAGTTATAAGAAGGCAGCACACCAAGGAGGGATTTATAGATGAAGCTGAACCAGTGTGAGAGCCTACGTGTATAATGATGACCAAGTGACCAAGGAGTACAGGGTGCGGTGATATGGGGTGCTGTGGTCACCTCAGTCAGTTACCCCGAATGCTAAGTCACATGGGTTCGGCTTTTATTTTGATAGTCCACTTCCGCTTCTTGGCAAATAATTTGCATATTAACTAAATATTTAGGTCGGCAAGTTAAATATTTAGGTGAGAGTTAAATATTTAGTTATCAAATTAAATATTTATTTTTGAAATTAAATAATTAGCATGGACAATAAGTATTTAGTTTGGAAATTAAATGCTTACTTTTGAAAATATATGTATAGCTTGGAAATTAAATATTTAATTCACACCTACATATTTAGTTTAGTAACTAAATATATAACTTGAAAGTTAAGTATTTAGTCTGTAAACTAAATATTTAGATTGTAAATTAAATATTTAGTTTGGAACTATGACATTTATAAATGTATGAATAACATGGTGAAAATATGACTGAAAAAAACAACTTTTTTTCTTATTAAAGGCCAAATAAACCAAAATATTGCTGTTAATTTTTGACTGTATAACTTTACAAACGGCACCCCATAGAGTATGATGTTACAACCAGTTATAAACCTCAGTGCACCATGACAGACAGCATCCAACATCTGCAAGGAGCTGGCAGGGGCATTCACGCAAATAATGTCACCGTAATCGATAGCTGGTATTGTTAGTATTTTTATAAATAGTCTAATAATTAGCACCAGCTTGAGATGAAACAAGTCTGACTGAATGACTGTAGAAGCTGTAGAAGTTTGTTTTTCAACAAGTAATAATTAAATTAGGTATCTGCATTGAGGAGCTTGATGACTATTAAATGATAAAAGGGCGTGCCTTAAAAACCGCTCGAACACTCCCCCACCACTTGTGACAAAATGGCCTACAGGCCTCATCTGTGTGTACGTAGTTAGAGAGCACACAAGGTGGAAAGCACGTAATTTATTATTTTAAAACGTATGTGTTGTAAAGTTTGAATGACAGTCCCAGACTGACACGTAAATGCGTATTCCCGCTGAGACAAAGCTTGTTTTAACGTGACTGCTCTCTTATGCATGACGCAAATAGTAAGGGATCAGCGGTAAACGAGGCCACGCATTGTCTGCTCCCCCCCTCCGCCCTCCCCTCTGCTTGTCAGGGAGCAAGCTGATTGGCCGAGGCCTAGCAAAGAGTACCCGGGGATCCAAAATTGCAGGCCGCACTTAGCTTACCGTCAAAAATAAACCAAAACAAAAACAGACAAATTTGACAAGGGGGAGACACACCGTTAGAGTCAGAAGACGACGTTATCAGGTAATAAATTTTCAAATTGATCGCCAAGGCACGTGGAATAAGACGCACGGGCCCGCTCGAATGTAGTGGGCCTCTTTGAAAACAACATGGAAGATAATGCGGCACTGGGCGCGCCACTTAGCTTAGCAGGCTAGCTAGCTGATTAAACCGCCGTCGTCGAAATAATTGAAGCGACATGTTAATAAAAAAATCACAGTGCACAACGACTTCTGATATGTTCCCATAGTGTCGTTAATGTTGTATTTTTATTTGTATTTACAAGTTACATGGCTTTTTATCGGGGTTATTGAATTTCCGAAATTAGCTTTTATGCTAAAACAAAATGGCGCTTGGGGAGTCGATCTTAGCTTCCTTGCTAGTTAGTTAGCTCCAGTGGGTGGAGGGCGGTTAGCCCCCGTATTATGCATTGCATAACTGCGGTTCTTTCATTGGTGGCCATAAACTTTGAGGGTGTGTAATTTAATGTTAAAAGAGTCGACATTGTTTGACTACGACTAATGTGTCAACGCAGTATTTGTCTGTGTCTCAGACATTCTATCCGTGGAAAAAAACATAAACGTCACCGTGATGACCAGAACGCTGTAAATGCTCCGTAATTTCTCATTATTTTGAATTGCACTTTACGAAAATGCATTCCCCTCTATAAAACAAACGTGTTTTGCAGTCTCCTAAATACTTGATTACAACCGCCGTCAAGTTTGTCCCTGAAAGGAGGGACAGTCCTTTGTCTCATCTGGGCTATAACATCCATCAGATTGAACCAGGTGTAGCTTTATGTCTTGCTGTATGCAGGTTGATGCTGCATGTAGTACTTTTTATAGGCAATGGATGGAGCCAGTGCTCAACAAAACAACTGTTCTCCTTCTATAATAATTTCTGTGGTGACACATTCAATCAACACACATTATATATGGGATGTATGGCATAAAGTATATGATAATAGTCGTTACATATATTTTACAATTGCAGTTAGAGACTAATTGTAATAGTTGTTTTGTTTTCTTCTTCTTTTTTGGCAGTGTGATTAGTTGTCTTGATGGAAGGAAGTGTTTCAGTTATCCTGTTGGTTTCATTTTAAAGGTCTTGTCTCTAAATGTGAAGGTATGTACCCAGTCTCAGCCACACTTTCACTTTCAGTGTAGTAATTCAGACAAGGGGTGGGGCGTGGGGGTAATGTTGTTAGTGTTGTAGATTTCAAGGTATCTGTTTTTGTTTTGTATGGAATAAAGAGATGGATCAAGGAGGAGGAGTGTTGGAGCTACACACTCAGGAGCTGAAGATGCCCCATGCTATGATCATGCAAGATTTTGGTACGTGGTTATGTAGATTTATCTGAAAACCAGTATGCCATAAATGGTACATTTAGCACACAGTGTGTTTTGAAACTAAACAATTTATCCTATAAAATGTCTGCTCTTTATTATCAAAAACAATCCTAATCATAAAGTTCTAGTTTTTAAATGTGGGCTATGTTGAACATTTTGTGATAACATTTTTCTGTCTAACTTTATTTTGTGGATCAGACATAACTTAAATTTCAGCTGTTTTATTTCTGAAACAACAGTAAGTACATATGAGCCTGTAAAACTGGGCAGTAACCAAAGTAACAGTGACTTCTGAGATAAGACGGTATCTATACAAGTCAGATTACACAGAGGAGCAATCTGTTAGACAGAGCAACATCTTGCAGACTGAGTAGCTGTTGGCCTACCCTGCCCCCCATGTGCAGTTTCATCTGATCTTTCAAACTGATATCACTGACTATTGTCTAATGCAGGTCAGATACTGATACTGACTCGTAAGTTATTAACAGTTCTGCCGACAATCATTTTATATCCCTTTAACTTTAATGGTGTGCAAGAACATTTACTGTTTAGACTTTGATCAATTGCTGGATTGGGGTTAGTGCTGGTGCAGGTCTGGTTTCACTTTAAGAACAACCCTTAACCATATTATAGTGTTGTGGGTTTTTTTAATTGTTGTTTTTTTGTTTGTTGTTGTTTTTCCTTCTTTTTTTCCACAATCCAAGAACATCACAGAACGGGGATATTATTTACACATTACTTTTGAAAATACTAGTGGTGATTGTAGATTTTATGCAGCAAAACTCTCAACCCAAGAAAATGAAAGTAACTTTTTACAAACCAGATTCCAAAAAAGTTGGGACACTAAACAAATTGTGAATAAAAACTGAATGCAATGATGTGGAGATGGCAAATGTCAATATTTTATTCGTAATATAACATAGATGACAGATCAAAAGTTTAATCTGAGTAAATGTAACATTTTAAACGAAAAATATGTTTATTCAAAATTTCACAGTGTCAACAAATCCCAAAAAAGTTGGGACAAGTAGCAATAAATGGCTGGAAAAAGGAAATTGAGCATATAATGAACAGCTGGAAGACCAATTAACACTAATTAGGTCAATTAACAACATGATTGGGTATAAAAAGAGCTTCTCAGATTGTCAGTGTCTCTCAGAAGCCAAGATGGTAAGAGGATCACCAATTCCACCATTGTTGCGCAGAAAGATAGTGCAGCAATACCAGAATGGTGTTACCCAGTGTAAAATATCAGAGTTTTAAGTTATCATCATCAACCGTGCATAACATCATCAAAAGATTCAGAGAATCTGGAACATTCGCTGTGCGTAAGGGTCAAGGCCGTAAAACTCTACTGGATGCTCGTGATCTCCGGGCCCTTAAACGTCACTGCACCTCAAACAGGAATGCCACTGTCAAGGAAATAACAGAATGGGCTCAGGAATACTTCCAGAAAGCATTGTCAGTGAACACAATCCACCGTGCCATCCGCCGTTGCCAGCTGAAACTCTACAGTGCAAAGAGGAAGCCATTTCTAAGCAAGCTCCACAAGCTCAGACGTTTGCACTGGGCCAGGGGTCATTTAAAATGGAGTGTGGCAAAATGGAAGACTGTTCTGTGGTCAGATGAGTCACGATTTGAAGTTCTTTATGGAACACTGGGACGCCATGTCATCCGGACCAGAGAGGACAAGGATAGCCCAAGTTGTTATCAACGCTCCGTTCAGAAGCCTGCATCACTGATGGTATGGGGTTGCATAAACGCTTGTGGCATGGGCAGCTTACATGTCTGGAAAGGCACTATTAATGCAGAGAACTATGTTCAGGTTCTAGAACAACATATGCTCCCATCTAGATGTCATCTCTTTCAGGGAAGACCCTGCATTTTTCAACACGATAATGCCAGACCACATTCTGCAGCAATCACAACATCATGGCTACGTAGAAGGATCCGGGTACTGAAATGGCCAGCCTGCAGTCCAGATCTTTCACCTATAGTGAACATTTGGCGCATCATAAAGAGGAAGGTGCGACAAAGAAGGCCCAAGACGATTGAACAGTTAGAGGCCTGTATTAGACATGAATGGGAGAGCATTCCTATTTCTAAACTTGAGAAACTGGTCTCCTCTGTCCCCAGACGTCTGTTGAGTGTTGTAAGAAGAAGGGGGGATGCCACACAGTGGTAAAAATGGACTTGTCCCAACTTTTTTGGGATTTGTTGACGCCATGAAATTTGGAAACAACAGATTTTTCCCTTAAAATGATTCTCTCAGTTTAAACGTTTGATCTGTGATTTGTGTTCTATTCTGAATAAAATATTAGATGTTGGCACCTCCACATCATTGCATTCAGTTTTTATTCACAATTTGTTTAGTGTCCCAACTTTTTTGGAATCCGGTTTGTATTATGTAGCTGTTTTATGTGAACAGTCACGCTCTGTTGTGAAGAAGCGGTAGTCTTGGTCTATAGACTAGTCAAAGTGTTGATACTACAGTAGAGCCAGTTGTTCTGGTTTTAAGTTAAACACGTCTAATTGAGCAATGTAAGCTTTGATTATAAACACGGTCTACAAACTCAGACACAGCCTCCTGTGAGGGGACACCACATTGTCAACTGATTGATTGATCTAATCTTTGATGTACTGAAGACCTCAAAAGAAACTCAAATCTACAAGAACGTTGAATTATAAATCTTTGAAGGACAAGAAAAGAACAAAATATTTTCGGTTAAATTGCGACTTCTCGTTTTTTTCTTCATGTTGATAAACATTCACATTTGATGTTTGAGTTGTAGCTTATCATTTTGAAACATTTTATCTTTGTTTTTAAGTTGCAGGCATGGGAGGTCTGGCTCACATCGACGGAGAACACATTGTGGTCTCTGTGCCTGAGGGTATGCTTCTGTCTGATGTCATGACGGATGAGGGAATCCTCCTGGAGCATGAACTTGAGGTAGAAGGTCTGGAGACTCACGTGGTTGAAGGACTGGAGACCGAAGTGGTGGGGGACTTGCATGCAGATGTCGAAGGCTTCGAGGCAGAAGTTGTTGAAGGCCTACACACACATGTGGTGGAGTTAGAAGCTCAAGTGGTTGAAGACCTGGAGGGTGAGGTTGAAGTTGAGGGTCTTGAGGCACAGGTGGTTGAGGGCCTGGAGACTGAAGTTGATGTAGAGGGTCTAGAAGAAGAAGTAGAAGTAGAGGATTTGGAAGCTGAGTGTGTTGAAGGGCTTGAGGTAGATGTGGAAAGTTTGCAGTCTCAAGGGGTAGAGGCTCATGAAATAACCAGTGAAGACATGGTCTCCTCAGGACACAGTGTGATCATGCCTGAGAATATACTGGGGACAGAAGTTGCGATAGAAGAGGCCTTGGACGTTCATCATCACCATGTCCTAACATCAGACCTCATCCAGGACTCCAACCACCCTGACGATATGTCAGACCAGGTGTTTGTGGCAGAGCTACTGTCTGAGCACGAGGATAGCACACTGGACCATGAGCTTGTATCAGAAGGTCTGATGGTGACAGAGGCCAACGCTGAGACCATAATCCATCAACAGCTGCCAGCTGAGGCTGTTGCCTATAAGACAGATGAGGATGATGATGGAAGAAGCAGCTCTGAGGATTACCTCATGATCTCCCGTAAGGCAACTTGTCATGTAATATCACACACAGCTGAAATTAATTTGTTTATCTTCTAATATAGCCAGTAATGTTTGTTTTAATGTAGTCGATGAAGTGGGGGAGAAGTTAGACATAGGAGACACTCCACTGGAGATCAGCACTGAAGAGATGGAGGACAAGGAAATTAAAGTGGAGGATGACTCGGAGGTCATAAAAGTCTACATTTTTAAAGCTGAAGCCGATGACGATTTAGGTACCATTTAAGTCTACTTGTTGCACATGATGTATTCTAAAAATAGAAATTAGTCTCCAGTTTTGTTTTGTTTTGTTTTTCTTAAAATGAGTCTCAACCTGAACAAAGTTTTGTTAATCCATTTCCAGGTGGAACAGAGGTAATAACAGAGGACGATTACCAAAATGGCCATCCTGATCTGGAAGCTGCATCATCAGGCAGACTGGGAGTTGGCCGTGACAAGATGGTCTACATGGCAATCAAGAACCCTCTAAAGGAAGAGGAGGAAGAAGAAGATGATGAAAGTGATGATGATGATGACGATGACAGTGATGATGGCATCAGTATGTTTTATTTGTAAAATAGCATCTAGAGATCAGATGGTGTACAGTCTGTGCTTTTGCTTGCGTTTGAGATAACTTGTGCAACAAGATGTTCTGCGATGTTCTAAGATTTTACACAAACACAGGTCTGGGTACATTTGTGATAGTGTTGTCTAGCAGGCTTGTCTTCCCTAATTATTAAGTTTAGTGGCCCTTTAATATATCATATAAAATAGTTGTCTTGGTTATAATTCCATGTAAACTCACAATATCTGCAGGTACTACCATTGAAAAGGTGAAGAATGGACTTGCTACTCGTTTTTTGCAAATCCCTGAGGAACTGGGCCCAAACCGTGTACTCAAACCAAAGGCTAAGAAGAAGAGGAAAGGAGATTCACGGCAGTGCCATACTGGTATGTGAAGCACAATGATTACAGTAGCATTACAAATCAAATTTTATAAACTTTAATCAATTTAAAATATAAATTCATAATTGTAATTTTTTTTTTTCACAAACTCCCTCCCCAGCTGTCATCATTGGACCAGATGGAATGCCTTTGACCGTCTACCCTTGCCACATCTGTGGAAAGAAGTTTCGCTCCCGTGGTTTTCTCAAATGTCATATGAACAACCACCCAGACCATCTGCTCAAGAAGAAGTACCAGTGTACAGACTGTGACTTTACCACCAACAAGAAAATCAGCTTCCACAATCATTTGGAGAGTCACAAGCTCCTGAGTCATAACGAGCGATCTCCAGAATATACGGAGTATGCACGGCGCTACCATGAGTCCAGCCCCTTGGGCTCAGACAAGCTCATTGTTAAGGACCGGGAGCCTAAACTGCATCCCTGCAAATACTGCGATTACGAGACGGCAGAGCAAGGTCTGCTCAACCGTCACCTGTTAGCAGTGCACAGTAAGAACTTTGCACACGTGTGTGTTGAGTGTGCCAAAAACTTCCGCCACCCATCAGAGCTGAAGAAACACATGCGGACCCACACAGGTGAGAAGCCCTACCACTGTCCACACTGTGAGTTCCGCTGCGCAGACCAGTCCAACCTAAAGACTCACATCAAGAGCAAGCATGGGGCCGATCTGCCATTCAAGTGCAACCACTGTCCCCAAGCTTACGCTGATGCTCGCGAACTCCAACGTCATATAGAAATGGTGCAAGGCCACAAGACCCACCAGTGTCCACACTGTGAACACAAGAGCACTAACTCCAGTGACCTTAAACGACACATTATCTCTGTTCACACCAAGAACTTCCCTCATCAGTGTGACGTATGCGAGAAAGGCTTCCACAGGCCCTCGGAATTGAAGAAACATGCTGAGACACACAAAGGCAACAAAGTGCACCAGTGTCGACATTGTAACTTCAACGCTCCCGATACTTTTACCCTAAGTCGCCATATTCTGTCTCTGCATACAAAGGACCTTCCCTTTAAGTGCAAGCGCTGCCGACGAAGCTTCCGGCAGCCGGCTGAGCTGAAGAAGCACATGAAGACACACAGCGGTAGGAAGGTCTATCAGTGCCAGTATTGCGAGTATAACAGTACGGACGCCTCTGGCTTCAAACGCCACGTCATCTCAATTCATACAAAGGACTACCCCCATCGCTGCGACTACTGCACCAAGGGATTTAGGAGGCCTTCAGAGAAGAGCCAGCACATAGCCAGGCACCACAAAGACATGCTGATGTAATGTCATCCCACACACAAACTCACACTCCTTTTCTTGAGTACATCTGTGTCGCACACCCACAGGTAATTTTAGTGTATAAACAAAAAACTGACTCATGCAGGCTGTTGAAGATATTGTTGTTCTGTGTTGTATTGGTTTAAACCTCCTCCATCCCGGGGTAACACAAGAAAACATTTTAGATTGAGTAAAGTCTAAACAAGAAAAAGAAGAAAAAAACTGTGTAAACTGATTGCGATGGTTGTAAATTGTTTTGAAAGTCACATATGAACATATATTCAGGGTTTCAAATGTCTATATTTTTATACCCACTCAGCTGAAATGCTGCAAGATGACGATTTTGTCAGTGCTTCGTGATCGTCACGCTACTTCTTCAGATGAGGCAGAAGTAGTACAGGAAACGTTTGCCTCCATATTATATCACCTCCCTTTCCTTGTCAACCAGCTTTTAACCTGAAATCTTTTTGTTCGGTCCTACTTGACCCTAAATGAAAAAAGGCCGTTTGTGTTTTCAAGCAGGGATTTTTAATGATGGTGGCATGCACAATGCATCTTCGGGGGGAGGAGGAGAATTAATAGTAATTTAACAATTCCTCGTTTTGGGATTTTGTCTCTCAAGCCTGAACACTTCAAATTAATCATGTAATAATATTTCCAACTATGTTCTATTAAAATGTTTTAAAAAAGTTGAATCAGAAATCTTCTGGTCCAGTTAGTGTCTAGTGAGAAGGAGCAGAGCGCAGCTGGTATTTTAGGAAAAATTCTTTAGTGTACACATTTCTAACAGAAATGTGGTGTTCTGCTATAACGATGCAGATAATTTACCATTGTATTATTTAATATGATTATTGTATGAACACGGGAGACATTCAATGACCCCTGAAGTGGTTGTACTGCATTTGACCGCCACCGTAAAGTTTCATACGTGTGATGCTCCCTACGACACAGATGTTCTCTCTGCTCACCGTTTGGTTGCAGTCACGCCTGCACACCTGCCGGTCGCTCGCCCTTCAGCACCGACAAACAGCTAGCCAGAAAATGAGCGATTCTTAACTCTTCAACATTCTGCAACAACGCCATTCTCTCAGAGATTATATTTGAGTCATTAGAAAGCACTTTAATTTTTGTTTCGTTTTTGTATTTTATTGACATGCGAGTTAATTATCTAATGATGTATCTATAGATATAAAGATATATCTGCAGGAAAAATAAATTGCAAGCTTGCAGATTAGAATGTGAGAGTTCATTATCTAATGATGTATCTATAAGTATAAAGATATATCTGCAGAAAATCACAAACGTGCAGGACTTACAGATTAGAATGAAAACTATTGAACAAGTGGGCACAATCCATCACTGCATCGAAATGGAAAAGTCATGAAAAGATGAGGCCAGTTTTTTTTTTTTTTTTTTTGAGTAAGCCATTTGTTTTTGTGTTTTTGTTTGTGCTCACTAACAAATTCCCTTGACACTAGTCCTAAATAACTGCACCCGGTCCCAACATAGGATTATTTCCTTCAAGTCAGTGGTCATTATATTGGCATTAGTCTTTAAAATATGCACACGTGCTGTCTTCATGAAGTTAATGGTGGTATATATTAAAAATCCCTGCATTTGGTGTACTTTAGTCTATATTTTTCTTTCAGTCTGATTGTGGATAAACTAGTTGTGGGGAAAAACCAAAATAAACTATTACCTTTTTACCATGTTGGTCTTTTTTTACCATTTAGAAGTCCATCTGAAACATCTGGGTGGGGTTAAGAGCCTTGCTCAAGAGTCCAGAGTGGGACAAATGAGGGTGGAGGCAGGAGTGGATGCTTCACTTTTCCCACCTATATTTTTGAGGCTATGGTTGGGGGAGGGGATTTGGGACCTTTTGACCACAGGCTCGCCTCTAACCTCTGCTCCACCGCTCTCCAACTTTGGCTTTTACGGCTCAAACTAAACTGCGATGCACGTTTTTGTCAAGTTTCAAAGACCGACGACACAAAGAATACACAACTGAAAACATGACAGCTGCACAGACGGATTGAGCTGAACTTGCTTTTCACATTTTCATTAAAAACTTCAGTAATTGTCCATTTCATAATTGTCCTTTCTTGCAGCTGTCTGTTCATTTTTTTTCATAATGTGCCGATTAGTTTCCGGCTGATTATTCAAGCCAATTATTTATCTCATAACCAATAATTGGCTGTTTTTCGGCTGGTAAAGCAACGTTGTTCGTGTGTGCTGTGAATGTTTTTGATTAGCCTTTGGACGTCTGTTACTTTGATAGAGGCAGTTACAATTTAGGCACAGCCGAGCTAAATGAGCAGTTGTCCTTTTAAAGCATTTTATAGACAAAACAATCTGCCGTTTCATCTTTAACAGTGTGAATGTTTATGAAGGATTCACACTATTGTGATCCATTTTTCTTCCTTAAGTTTTTCTGTACGTTTCTCATCCTGAAGTTTTCAAACCATTTCAACAAATCATAGATCAAAACATTCAGCTCTTTCAGGACAATCCTGCTATGACTTTTGGTATTGGTGCAACTTTAGCTTTTTGAAATATTTAGCCTTTTCTGCCATTTTTTTCCTCAGAAAATGAATTGAGCTCATTTTACATCCTTCATATCTTTAGATGTGTTTACATCCTTTTGCTGCTCCTTTCACATTTTGTTCTGCTTCAGCTTCTTTCAGCTGCCTTGTGCAAATTTAAACTATCAGCTAATTTCAGCTGTTTTGAGCTCCTTTCAGATTCTTTCTACTAACTACGTTTGTGCTTCTTCCAACTTCTTTCAGTTCAGCATGTTCTGCTCCTTTCAGCTTACTTATGCTATTCTCAGCATTTTCTACTATTTCAGCTACTAAATAGCTGTTTTATGCTCATTTAAGCTTTTTCAGCTAATTCCATTTTTTGCATTTTTTCCACTTTTTTCAGCCTAATTCAGCAAAATATTCTCTCTCTACACTTTCTTCTGATATTTTAGGCGTCTCTCTGCTTTTTAGCTACCTTCAGCTATTTGTTACTAATTGCAGCTTTTTTTTTTTTTTTGCTATAGTTTCTACATTTTTGTGCTATTTTCTGCTTCTTTCAGCCTAATAAGGCAAACACGTGTTTTTTCTGCCTTCATATGCTAATTTAAGCTTGTCCTACCTTTTTCAGCTAGCATTTTTAGCTAATTTTAGCTGTTTTCCAATAAATTCAAGTTTTTCTTGGTAAGTTATGCTACTTTCAGCCTAATTAACTTCTTTCTGCTAATTTCAGCATGTTATGCTCCTTTCAGCTTTTTTCAGCTCCTTTCAGCTTTTTCTGTTATTTCGGTTACTATTTAGCTGTTTTATGCAAATTTTAGCTTTAATTTCACATTTCTTTAGCTCATTTCAGCTCTTCCCACTTCCTTCAGGTAGTTCTGCCTTTTCAGCTACTTTCAGCTATTTTTTGATGATGTTCTTAATTTTTGTGCTTATTTGAACTTAATTCAACAAATATGTGTTCTTTCTACTTTCTTCTGCTAATTTAGGCTTGTTCTTTTATTTCAGCTACATTTTAGCTGTTTTTTTCAGCAAGTTGTTCTGTAATAAGCTTTCACTGCATTTTTGCAGGGAATGCAATTTCTTATTGCTTTAATTTTAATTACGTAATGAATTGAAATGGGGTCTTTTTTGTTTATTGGGGCGGGGGGTAAAGTTTAAGTTGATCAACAGAATTAATTTTTGACTAATTTTTGTATTAAGTATCTGTCATTGTAAACTTCAGCCCACCAGATGATGCATCGCTGCACTTCAGCAAACACCAAAATATTCTTTTATACAGTTTTTCTTTCTTTTTGCAGTGATTCAATCCTGCAGCGTTGAGAGCATTGTTACCTGAATCTGATTCTTTGCGCCCGCCCGCGCGTTAACTAACACAGCTGCTCAGCTGTCAAGGCTGCAGGGAACCTGAATCAATACTTTCTACGTTTGCGCTCCAGTTTTTTGTTTATCGCACCTGAACCTTTGTGTTCTGAGAAGAAAACCCTAATGAGTGAACAGGATGTTTCACGCCGCTTCCTCTGAAGGGTAAAACAAGTAAAAAAAATTTTTTTTTTTAATACACCACAAAAAGTTGTCACAACAGAAAACAAAAATGTGGGTGTCTGAGTCATCGTAATCATGGACATCACCCTGAAACCAACACAAGTGAATAAAACTTAGATACAATTTTTGACTTTTTGAAAAATCTTTGAAACAGTGAGAAGTGTCTTTAAAAGGTCTAATAGTTTCACATCAGATTTCCTTATTAAAACAGATTTGAAAGGAAGGCTTGTTTTAATTTACGTTAGAGCTGAGATTTGATGAGAACATGGTCAGTTTCAATACTCGGAGGTGAACAACACGTACACTTTAAAACCGTCCCAGCAACTTGACCAGTAGAGCTCAGGACTCATTAGTTGCAGAAGGTTTTGAAAACTCCAGCTGTGTGTTTGGAGCTGTCGTCTCGTTACATGTTTGTTGCCGTGTGCTGGATAAACATCTCAAACTCTGAAAACGCCAAAAACCTTTAAACATCCTCTAAACGTTTACTAGTCGAAGCTACTATTCTCTCACTTAAAGGATTCTTCTCGTCTTAAATTGATTCAAAGTTTGAAAAATGTAATATTTTTAGCAAATACCTTGGATAAGATAATTTTAATGTTAATCTTTTAATCACTAAAATTCTTCAAAAACAGAATGATCTAAATCACGGGTGTCCAAAGTGTGGCCCGCGGGCCATTTGCGGCCCTTGGAGTGATTTTGTGCGGCCCACAGCTGCAGTTTAAGAATGGTATCATTTTAGCCTGCAGGCTTTAGAGGTCGATGCAGACTCTCTGCAGATTAGTTGGTAATCCTTTTTATATAATATTTAGGTTTAACAACAAAACAGATGAAAAACAATCTCAAAATGAGCAATATTAAACAAAATACAAACATTTGGCTGTAGTCTTTTTATTTTCACTTCATGCTACAAAGCACCAAAAATCTTTACCAGAAAGACTTTTGGATGATGATTCATAAAACTTGGCTAAATATTGCAGTTGATAAAATAATCAAGAGGGAAATTGGACATTTTAAATGAATATAACGTGGTATCATCTGCATACGAGTTGATCAACTTTATCAAATCTATAAATCTGTTGCATTTTTCAGAACTTCCATCAGTCTTTTGGGTCGTCCATGGTCCAAAAGGCTGATCGACCTCCTTTTTTAAAGGACACTTAGTTAAATTATCCTTTTTGCTGCTGAGAACAAACTAAAATGAACTTTCCAAACACAAGAAAACAACATAGACACAACAAATCAAATAAATAATTTTTAATAAAACATATACGCTAAGTGTTTATGAGGTTTTTAATGTTTTGGATCTACAACAATTTAAAACTTTCTCCACCAAAATGAGTAAACTTTTGTCCTTTCTCCAAAATATTGTTCACGTCGAGTTAAATTCACATTTCTGTGGCCCACGAGTTCTTTCATCTGGATAGTTTTGGCCCACATATGAAAATGTTTGGGCACCCCTGATCTAAACAGAGTGTTAGAGAAGGTAATAATTGATAATAGGCCAACTATATATGTATATGGTTTTTATATATGTTCATGGAAACGAAGCAGATCGTGTTTGTGTGGGAGAAGCTTCAGAGAAGGCGGGAGCACATTAGAGGATCTGAATTTTCATGTCACTTGTCATGAAAGACAAACGACTTCTCGTACTGAGTGCAATGAGGCGGTTCACACGGGCACCGCCAACGCTGCAGAATATAAATTCATTTTTGTTGATCCCACACAAGATCTCGTAAATCACCCACCGGTGTCAGCAGAAACCACTGAGGACATGAAGGCCTCTGTAGCTTCTTCTTTTGTGACAGCGTTATCCAAGTTACTTAGCAAAATGTTTATCCTAGAAGTTGTGCGGGGTTTTTTTTTTGTTGTTTTTTTTAATTGCTGCCCATTTTTCTGCCAGGTGTAAGCCTGCCCCCACACACACACACACACAGACACACACACACACACACACACACACACTGTACCCAGCAGCCTCAAAAGGCCATCGCTGTGATGAAAATCGACAGACGTGTACAGATAATCCAGATGCTGCAGAAGGTCAATCCAATTCCTTTGATGTGTTCATTTTGCTCACATTTCCAGTGGGCTGCGGTGTGGATGGGATTAGAATGATGAAACCAAGAGTAAATATTCAGAGTCACAAAAATAATCTTCATCCATTTCATTTAACCGCTGCAGGTTAATAGTTACCGATGGTTTGGGTGTCAGCCCAGCATATTTATTCCATCGTTTGTTTCTGTAAAGCCGAACACCAAACGGAGACCGTCATCAGCTCGTCTCGTTGGCAGGAAGCCCCGCCACGTTACTTCCAGCTCCTGTGGTGGCCAACAGAACCACGGTGCAGATCGTTCATGGGGGGGCTGCAGTGGGGAGGGCCAGCTGGAGACGGTGAGGTCTTCAGGGAAATCAGTCGACTAACTGCTTGAAGAGACGCCAAACATGACTATGGAAAGTAGAGAGGGGACAAGCTGCTGACTGTCTGATAAAATAAATAAATAATCTATATAATAGCTTCAACTTTGATCTAATCTGCTAAATAATTAAAATTTTAAAAAAGAGTAACAAAGCAGAGAAAATTCTGATCAGTCCAAATTTTTTCGACAAGATCTTAAAGCTGCTCGTTGCAAAGTAAAATAAATAGAAAGTTCCTGGAGAAACTTTGACAGGGACTGCCTATTTATAAATAAATTATTATTAGTAATTAATATTAATGATTATTAATATTAATAATAAATACAGATTATTAATTATTTATATATTATTAATTTATTAATTAGTAAAATATTAATAATCAATATTAATAATATTCACACCAATAATTAGTATTAATTTGAAATATTACGTATTAATATTAACAATTATTTATATTAAAACATAATTATTAACGTTAATAATTTATAATTAATATTATTATTAATATTACTAATTAATAACAGGTGATAATAGGTAATAATAGGTGCCTTCCTTGCATGTTGAACCAAAATGGCTCCATACGTTACTCAGTTTCTGTGAAGAGTTATCTCCTATTCATTTTCTATGGTAAATTTGGCATATTTATTAACAAAATATGTCGCCATGGTAACTGCGAATGTCAATAAAAGTAATTGCACACTTCCCGGAGCCGGGCCGGTTGTTTTGATACAACTTTTGTGGGAGTAGACGCTGTGGTTTGGGCCGCATTAACGGAGATAGAAATGTAGACACTCTTGCGAGGTGTAGAATAATAGGTGCCTGCCATGCATTCAACACAATCTGCTGCTTCCTTAGATAACTTTTACTAACTGGCTTTTTATGTGCGGATGTTTCTGTTCAGTGCTCTGAGATGACTTCTGTTGTGACTCGGTGCTACATAAATAAACTGAATTGAATTGTTTTCTAGATATACTGTAGTCACATGCAATTCTGAAATGCAGGTACGCATTCATTGTAAACAAAGCAAAAATACAGCAAGACTATTCAACTAAATCTCTCAGGGGGCCACAGTAAAGTCAAGAGCTCAGGGCCAGACATCCAGCAATTATTGTCATTAAGTAAGTTTGTTTATGGTTTAAAATGTAGTTTTATTAAAAAATGAACCCATTGGTGGGCTGGACTGAGTTCACCCATGGGCCTGATTTGGCCCCCGGGCCACCAGTTGAATATCCCTGAACTACATGGAAGCTTGCATCACGTGAGCGGCCTACATCAGGCTGGATGTGGTCTGTGGAGGTAAACCACAGAGTGGATCTGCAGCTAAAGAACAGAACAAGGAAGACAACGTGAGAGAATTAACATGACTGTGTTGTTCTCGCGTCCCCTCTTTCTCCAGCCTGCGAAGGCAGCTAACCTGTCCCGAGCCTGGTTCTGGTTCAGTGGAGTTTTTCCTTCCCACTATCGCCAGTGGGCTTGCTCAGGAAGGGAGTTTGCAACCAGTTTGACACAATCTGCTGGCTTCCTTAGATTAATAACTTTGACTAATTAGCATTTTAATGAATGTTTTGTACAGTGTCCTGGGACATTTGATGTGAATGAAACTGAAGGACACTGCAGGGTAGAGGAGCAGCATAAAGACAGAGCTCGGCATTCAACATGGCTTAAAGACTGGTAAGTTTATAGTTTCTGTCTATCTTTTTTATCTGCATTCCTTACTCAACAAATCAGAGTTCAAATCATCTAGACTGTCACACTCCTTCATCCCATTTTTATTATTATTTTTTTTTTAACCAGTCTTTGTAGCTTTAACAACAGGTACTTAAACTTTGTATTTTTTATTTATTTATCAGAGCTACAGAGTAAAATTAATGCATTTAAGTATAATTTCCATGTTTTTGGTCTTTAAAAAAAAAAAAAAAAAAAGTCCATTTAATTTGTCGGTTACAAAAAGTATACTTGCATGCACATTAGGATGGAGCAGTATAACCACAGTGAAGTTCTGTTAAGATTTTGTACAGCAAAGCTCAAAAATGTAAATTAAAATACACAAAGAAAAACACAACTATGATCAAAATGGTTTTAAAAATCAGAGTGCTCCCCTTATCATTTGCAACACATTTTAACTTCAATGATTTCTTCTTAAAGTAGTTTGTAGTTACAGAGAGTGTCCATTGGGTGTCGCTGTTGTCTGTTTTATGGAACCCTCACTTCCATAAACTTCCCCCTCAAATTAAATCCAATAAAAAATCAACACATACTTCCAGTTTAGTGAACGAATCAAAATTTGTAAACAATTCTAATAATTAAAAAAAATAGTTTTAATAATAAAAAGGAGAATTGAGCACAAAATAAAAGATAATTTATGAAATGTACTTATAAAAAGCATATCCTGATGAAGATGAAGGCAGTGGAGCCGGATCCGGGCGGAGGCGCGTCACCGCGGGTGGGCGGGGCTAACCGGCAGGGATAACGCGCGTGTCCTCCGTTACTCCGCAGTTGGAGGTGCAGCTTTTACGCAAGACGGGAGCAGTCGCGAGGGGGCTGAACCAGCTCGGGTCCCGCGGGTCTTCCCTGGGGTGATGGAAACATCGGATATCTGTTTATTCGCCTTCATCTTCTCTCACGCCTTCAGGATCGTCTTCATCTCGTAGCTCGTGCGCAGCGAACCCCGTCTCCGCCAACAACTATGGATCGCCTCACTGAAGTTGGACCACCTGATCCAGCACGCCGCCGAAATTAAATAAGGAGAGAGGAGAGCTCGTTATGATCGGTTGTGTCAGTGGGACATTTCCTGCTCAGAGAACCGGTGAGAAGAAGAATCCGTCCTCAGAGCGTCTGTCTGTGCGTAAAGGGACGTTCACCCCACGGATCTGCTCTCTGGTGACTGGCAGCGCTGAGATTTAGGAGTTCCGTGGAAACACTTGGGTTAAAGCAGAGAAAGTGTTTGCATCAGCCTAAATTTGGTCATTTTCAGCCATTTTACTGGTGCACTGGTCAAGATTTTAGCCACTTGCTCGATTGTGATTTGAACTTTTCTCTGCAGCTGAGAAAACAGAGAGGGGCCATGGCTTTACCAGATGGTGGCATATCAGGAGAGGAGATCCCATTCCCAGAGATCGTAGAGCTAAATGTTGGAGGTCAGGTGTATATAACCCGTTACTCCACGCTCACGAGTGTGCCAGACTCTCTGCTGTGGGAGATGTTCAGTCGGAAGTCCACCAAAGGGCTGGCCAGGGACACCAAGGGGCGTTTCTTTGTGGATCGCGATGGCTTCCTGTTCCGTTACATCCTGGACTACATGCGGGACCAACAGCTGGTTCTCCCGGACCACTTCCCCGAGCGAGGTCGTCTGCAGAGGGAGGCCGAGTTCTTCAACCTGCCAGAGCTCGTCAAGCTGCTGGCGCCTAAAATCAGCAAGCAGAACTCCCTGGGTGATGAGGGGTGTCAGAGCGATCCGGAGGACTCCTCGCCTGGCATTGATACAGCACGAAGCCTGGGCCCCTTGGGGGCTGCGGCAGCCGCCTGCGCCAGCCTAGTGCCCAGCACCATGGATGGAAAGCGCTCCGGGTTCATCACCATCGGCTACCGGGGCTCGTACACCTTGGGGCGAGACAGCCACACCGATGCCAAGTTCCGCCGGGTGGCGCGGATCATGGTGTGCGGGAAGACCTCCCTGGCCAAGGAGGTGTTCGGGGAGACGTTGAACGAGAGCCGCGACCCCGACCGCCCCCCTGAGCGCTACACATCCCGCTACTATCTGAAGTTCACCTTCCTGGAGCAGGCCTTCGACAAGCTGGCAGACTCCGGCTTTCACATGGTGGCCTGTAACTCCACGGGAACCTGCGCCTTTGCCCACGAGCAGACAGACGACAAGATCTGGACCAGCTACACTGAATATGTGTTCTACCGTGAGTGAGACTATGTCGGCTTTATTTCTCTATGGTTCCCAAACCCCCCCTACCCCCACACTCCTTCACCCTGCCTCCAAGAAACCTACCTTCCATGCCCATCCTGCTGCGGCCTCCAGCCATCCTGTCCCACCTCTCTCTCTCTGATGGCTTTTGTCCAGTAGAAGTACTCTAGATGTTGTGCCCTTCCATCTTTCTTTGCGGAGCTTTTCAACGTCTGACGCCGCTGCTGCTCCTCCAATCTGCAGCTTCCCCCCCTTCAACCCCAAACCCCCTTTGGTCCTCAAGTCCAGCTCTCAAGTAGCTGCTCCATATAGTTGCAGTCCCCAGCTACAGCAAATTCATTACCTTTCCCTGCAGAGACTTCTGTGTACTTTTACCCTTTTGTATCCTACCGATATATAAATATATATATATATATATGTATACATTGCATTTGCCTTGGTCAAGCACAACACGGTATCCAAGAGCCAATTTTATTAAACACATACCCAAGTGTGTCTATATAGAACTTTTAAAGGGCATGAAAGAAAAGGGCTGAAAGAGTTGCAGCCATGCCAGCCTGCTCCAGCAGGCCGGACTCTCTCCAGTTCCTCTGAACTAAATTACCAAATAATTGGACATCTTATCAGCCTTGAGGGACACGAGCAGCCCAGCGCAGCACAACGTGGAAGTGTAATCTAATTTCCTTCCGTTTTTTATTAAACGTGTCCTCTACCATGTGGTTTGGGGGAATGTGCCATACAGAGTTAATCTGTTCAGTTGTTTTAAAGGCTTATATTGCAGCGACGCGGACGGAAACAACGCAGTGGACTTTTTATTGTTATTGTGACATGGGAGAAAGGACAATGCAGCTTGTGTGCGGAGTTTCTTTTCATTTCTGGGAAGATGCTGGTTTTTATGGGAAATGCTCAAGAAGGATTTGATTTAAAAAAAAAAAAGATTTGTCCGAATAAAAAAAGCTGCACCAATTGCATCACGGCGTTTTATCAGTATTTAATCACTCGTGCACGGAGGACAAAGGAGATAAATGTGATTTTTTGTTGTTGTTGTTGATTCTGTTTTTGTTGTTTCATTGTGGTTCTTTGATATGTCTTTTTAATCAATCATTAAAAGCTATTTCTTCCCTCCCCCCTCCCATTTTTAGCTATAGATTATGATTTTCTGTTGTTTGCAAAAGACAAAAAGTTGTAGTAGCCATAAATGACCGTGCTTGGAGTGAAAAATGTGATGGTATTCTAATGACTTGGTCCAGTATTAGATGAAGCTGTTGCATAGTTGATGATAGTACTCAGAGTAAGTGAATACTCGTGAGGAGAGGGAAGGATTACTGTGTAGCCACCACCCGGTCACTGCAGCAGGGGCACGGGGAGGGCAGGGTTTTTTTTTTATTATTTTTTTAATGACTCGAGTTGCAGCTGATTCAGCCACAGGACATCACCTGAAACTAAAACACAACATGATTCATTCAAACGCAACAAAAGTAGCCGATGGCTTAAAATGATCAAACCCAGAGGAAATGATTCCAATGGTCTGGTCGTTATTGAAGAGATGTTCATCTTCTTTAAAAACTTCTAGTCCCGGAAGTGTCGGGTTTTATGTCACCGTGGCAGTAAATGTTCACAATACTGTGTTTCAGTGTGATGAATCGGAGCGTGTTAAACTTGTGTTTTAGCGAGCAGCGTACAAAATGAAGAAGGCAAAATAAAAGAAATATGTCTTATTTCATATGTTTTTCTTGTATCCCCTGCCCCACACCCGTCTGAGTGACATTGGCTACCTTCCTGCAGTTAGAATTGTTTATTCTCAATGACACCTGCAGCTGACAATTTCCAGCTGTTCCAATTAAAAGAAAATGGAAATAAACTCCTCTGAAATGTTCAGCACTTCTCGCCTCAGGCACTGTTTCTCATCCTTCCATCTGCTCCCACCCCACCCCATCCACATATTTTTTTTTTTCTCAGCTCCGTTCCGAGCTGTTGACCAAGAAAGCAGAGCCAAAACAGAAACGAGGACACGCATAGATAACAAGCTCTGTTAAAGCAGATTGTAAAAGCCTTATTCTGTTGCCAATAATTGGCCCTATTACAGTCTAAATTGTGAGGATGATTGCATCCAAAATGATGGACTGGTGAACCTCTGCTGCATTCAAGCCTTCCTGCGGAGCAACAATTTGCTCAGCATTAGAGGACTTCTTGCCCGTTCCTCGTGTATAACAGGATTTTAAGTGAGGGCAGATTTTCAGTCACCCAAACTCGAAACACAAACCATGTTTATGCAGGCGGCTTTTCATATGCCCCGCGTCTTTGTTTTGCCTCTTTTACACACTTATTTAGTATAATACCTCTGATCCCAGTGTGGCCTAAATAAGCCACACAAAAAATAACTTGTCAAACATTTGAGTGCCCCCAACACTTCTACATAATGGATGGTTTTTGTTGAACTTGTCCTCGGAGAAACGGAACAATATGACGCCCGCAGCGTCTCCGCGGCCCAAACAAACAGCATTCCTCTGGCACCGTCCTCAGACGTGCTGTGGCAACGCCAGAGCGCCAAAATCCCTCATCAGCGCACGCATGGAGAGACATTCCTCATGTGCAAAATGCTGCACGCCGACGTCCATCAGAAGCGCCTCGAGGCTCAACATTCAACAGTAGGGTGTGTGAGAAGTGCTGACGCTCAGATAGTGGAGCGGCGAGGTGCACACTGATCATTTACTGCTCCTGTTTTTATTCATTTAGGTGTGAAACATGGAGCTCGAAAGTGTGGCGTTCCTGCTTTGGTGCCATATAAGAAGCAGGCTGTTACACAGTAGTGTTGCAATGAACTTATTTATCTGTTTGTTTGTTTTTTACTTTTCTCCTTTTAAAACCAAAAACATAAGACCTGTTTATAATAAATTATTCAAGTCTTAGCATTTTAAGTACATAGAATTAAAAAAACAAAAAAAAAACACATGCAACACTCTTCTCTTTTTGTGTGTTTTTAACTCCAGCCAGTTATTCGGCTCATGTGCTTCTAATTTCTGTCTCGCAGCCAGCTAGGTCAGTTTTGTTTTTGTACTGGTAGAAAGAAATGACGAGCGAGAAGGAGAACAGGAAAGCAATGTATGTCAAAGAAAAAAGGCAGTTTGGAAAGTGGGCCAAGGCGAGGCAGAATATTTTTGGTTGAAGCAGGAAGTATCGAACAATGATATTCTACTTCATTTTTTTATTTTTGGTGTTTCAGGATTGTACTAAAAGTTCTCACATGCACGTGATTTGTAACGTGTTTCTTTGCCAACACTCATCCATTTACACAACATCCTGTGTGTATATCTGACAGCAGAAGTGAGTACACACCTGTGCATTCTGACTCAAACTGTCCCTCCTACAGTAGATAATGCCCTTTAACTTCAAAATTCAATTCAGTTTGTTTTATTCATATAGTGCCAAGTCACAACAGAAGTCATCTCAGGGCACTGTACAGAAACATTCATGTACATAACAAGTAAGTTAATAACATTAATGATCTGAGTAAAATGTAAAGAGTATTGGTCCAAGCACTGAACCCTGAGGAACTCCACAACTAAACTAAACACTCCTAGCTTTAATTTAAAACTAACAGTGTATTTTGATGTGCACCTTTTCACTCCAGGAGTTGTGTTTGACTACAAGTGCCCTTAAAATGGTCGTTTGATTGCAGTCAGGCGATGACGGCTTGTGGCTACACCTCAGTGAGTTTTGTATCATTATCAGGACAGATTTGCTCTGTGTGAATAACAGTCATTTCATTGAGATCCAAGCGTATTTAGGATGTGATATATTCCATCTCTTTTACACTTCTCACAATAAAAGGCCAGACACCCCTTGAAGGAACCTGGAGTTTTCGAATGAAAACCAGACCAGGAGTTTAAGCTTTTTAAACGATGTGATGTGTGATCTTGTGATCTTGTGATCTTGTGATCTGCATTAGGGCCAGCAGTGCTTACTTTGTAAACCAAACGATGCTGGAACACAAATAGCAGGGGGGAGGGGTCCTACCCTAGAAAATTTTGAATAAAGTAGATGCCATTTCTTGCTTTCTGGTGTATTTTAACGGGTCTACGTTTATTTATACTTGTAATCAATAACTATTTTAGAGAGCAACAAGTAGCCTGACCAACAGCCAACAGCTCTCTACCTGTGTGAATAGAGCACACTCCGCTTCTCTCAAGCATCCTGCCCCCCCCCCACCCCCCCCCCCCCCCCCCCCCCCCCCGGCTCCTCCTCAGGCTGTTCATGGCGACTGCCTGTGGGCTCCTATCTGGGAATAACAGCCTGGTTAGCTCGACACTCACCCCCACCACTCGCACCTACTCCAGTACTCTCTCCATTGCCACTGCCTTCATGTGCTTCAATTCTCAGTTGTTCACTTGTACAACGAGAAGCATTATTTTTAAATGAAAGTAAATTTGACAGTTTTTTAAAAACATTTTGATCAATGTTTTTTTGACAAATTGGCGCCGTTTTTTTGATACGCCATGTAGCCTACCTACGAAATGTGATTACTTACCAAGCGTTTTACTCATATTTTTAATAAATAATCAAAATTTTATGAATGACCCACTTAAACTGTCAAACTGATTTGCAATTTAGTTGTGGTGTTTAATTATATTTTTGTGTTTTCAATTAAATTGTCTATACTTTTAGGGGCGGAGATTTGTTTAAGGGTAGAAGCTGAAATGCTTATTAGCTCTTATGTGATATTAGGAAGCTTGTAAGTGACTGTTATGTTTAAAATTAGTGTTTATGTAATTATTTTCGGTTCACATATCCAATATAAGTGTTATTTGTTCAAGGCAGTCATATTTGTTCATAACTTTATTATTAGTAAGCCTGAGAGTTACCAGAACCAGGTAAACAGTTACCGGAACGCACAATGTCAAAATAAAAGCATTCTCTGATCCTGTTCCGACAGTGTCTGGCTCAAATTAAGCCCTGATTAGGGATAAGTTGGGGGTGACTATCTGCTACTACCAC